ATATATATTATTTTATGATAAACACTGAATAATCAGTAATGTAATTTATATTATATACTATGTATAACTTGAATTATACACCAACAACTTTGGGGGTACAAAGTTGAAGAGAAATTATATCTGGGGGTACGCGAACAAAAAAGGTTGAATACCACTGCTTTAGACTACAGAACAAGTTCAGGGCAATCAACATTCCGTCACTGAGACAAACCGTAGACAGGATCCCGCAAGCACACGCATTGAAGTCGACTGACCCATGAACTGGGAATACCAGACTTAAATGAAGAGCGAGTTGTCAACAATAACTCTGTTACAATACTTGAAATGTAGTTTGTCACCGATTTGACGTTACATTTCAAACTGCGTCGTAATTGTCTTTGTCATTTCTACGGATGCAACGTTAATCGTTAGATTAACGCACTGTACACAGAAAGCAACATAAATTTTCATTCATTCTTCTAGGTGTCAATACCCGAAATAATAACAACGCAGTTTTCTTATTTACCAGGTACTGAATATCACTAACACGTAAGTGTTTTGAGAGTCCTTGATAAAGAAAGCTGCCATTGTATTTAAAAGAAATGTTTACGTTTCTAGTCTTGAAAAGTGTTGTGGGAGAATAGCACTTGGTACTTTAATTTCACTTTCCCCGAGCCGTGAGGGATGCTATGCATGGCCGGCCGACGGAAGAGCATGTCGGCATGTCTGCAAGGGCCCCGCAAAACCGTTTCATGCATGGGATCTATTAATAGATCCCAGGGTTTTACCATGCCGAAATATTCCAATACCAGACTCGCGGGCAAAATTCTGTTCTACGCAGTTTCTCGCGGAAGGACGTCAAGAGTGCAAGACGCCAGCAAACAGAACAGATTCACTCGTTAATGAACCGGTCGCAATAGTGAACATTTGATATAAGCGAAATATCTAGGAAACTCTTCCTCAGAACGGACACTGTTCGTAACATAAACATTCCCATGCCCTAATGTCAGGCTTGTAAGAAACGAGGTCCTAGAAACCGAATCATGACACTAGAACTAAGTACCACCACGCTGATTTTAATTCCAGTTCTTCAAATTTTGCTCTGTATGGATCCTTTAGTGCAATCGTGATTACATCCTCCTAAGGAATGTGAATTTTATATCAATCCGGGAAGTCAGTCTGAGATATGAATCCTCCTACACCGACTTATCTCTGCGTCTTTCCAATCATACACATCCTTACAAAGCCTACTACAGCCGTTAATCTCCATGAAGCAGTACTTTCCTTAAGAAACTAGCAGTAGCTAAGCTGGTCGTCAATAAATAACTTGGCTTTTATGGGACCTTAAGTTCAACACTGCATCAACAAGAACCCGTCACATAAATGAATCCAGCTCAGACCCTCCCTCCCCGCCTCACCTATTCCTAGGCATCCAAGTCATCCGGCTGCCAACGGAGAACGCATGACGCCGTGGTGACGAGAGTTCAGAATGGACAGAGCGAGGAAAGCCCAATTCCTTCCATTGACAAGGGACCGACTGCCTTCGAATCAGAAGAATTGTAGATCAGTGTCGAGCTTTCATAGTTGTGATGTTTGAGCCACGAGTCCGAAGATTTCTGTCTTCTGGGTTGTTGCACCGTGAAATCTGGTAGATGTTTACCAACGTTTCAGAGGTCCTTGCTGCTTCCATCATCAGTCCTGACGTTCGTAAACTTTTACTAGACTACACGGCGATACAACCCAGAAGACAGCCATCTTCGGACTCACTGCCGTAAGAACTTCAAATCCTACTTAGCCTTCGCCACATTTCCAGTCAGCTCAAAGGTGAATGGCATTTAATTTAACACACATAAACTGTAAAAAGAGGACGGATTTAAGTTGATACCGACAAGAGAAAAATCAGGTATTCAAACAAGGCTGGTGATAGCTGTAGTTCTATTTCTGGCGTAAGGGAGTTGATAATCACGAAAATTTCCTATTATCCAGTGTCATGATGTTAATTTCAATTTTTTTTGCAACAAGACAACTACTAGGTGAAGCAGAGAGCTTCTTGAGAAGTTGACAGTTGCTAAGCTATTAAACAATTCCAGGCCTTTATCGAACTCGAATGTTCACTACTGTGTTTGCAAGTGCCCGCCACTCGTCTCTACCCTGAGACAGATAAATCAAGTCCACAACACTCAATTACACCGTTTCTTCTACCAATTTTAATATTATCCTTCGGTCTTCACCACAATCTTCCAAGCTGTCTTTCTTTCAGGATTTCCGATTACAATTTTGTATATTGGCTTATTATTTGGTTAGTCTGTCTCATTCTCCTTCATTTGACGAAGAGTAAAAACCACGAAATTCCTCAGTGTACAATTTTCCTCGGCTTTCCACAAATTCCTCCCAGATAGGCCCAAGTATTCTTGTGAGCAAATCAAGACGTAAAATTATATTTATGTACATTTTAATATTTAATTTTTAATTCTCCAATAAGTGTTCTTGGCGAAGCGCGTACTTCAGCACAAGAAACGTTCTCATAACCCCGTACTTTGTTAAGCACAATGGCAACTTTATACAGAATACAATGAAGAAGTTCAATTTAATTAACAAACTCGTTCACGGATAAAAAATATCATCTCATTTGTGTAACAGGCATTAAGAATACAACTTCAACTGACAGTATGACCATGTGCAATAAATTTAGTAAAGTCTGGCTTCAGGCCATGTGTCTCTGACCATCGAAGAACTGGGCGCGTCACTCACGTCCCTGGGAATCCAAAAATAACCCCTTGAATAAGTCACGTGACTTCCCAGTTTCAAAAAGTCATGGACGCACAGGCTTTTGCGTTGGTTCCAGCTACAAACGGTTTTTGATATTTATGACATTTCAGAATATCAACTTCGTTTTAGGTAATAAACACATTCTTAGAAATACCATATTTGAAAGTATAAGCAATCGCAGTTATTCTATTTCTCCTTCCAGTTACGTCTTACCGTGTTGGTAGACTTTACATCAGTGTAGGGGACTTTAATATACTGGAACAATCTCCTTGGTAATTCCAACACAATTACATTCTTATTCCGATTACTGTAATTTTTATTATTTCAACCAACTCCACATAGACGGGTTCTCCTCGTGAAACACTCAGTGAAGAAATATCCCATCCCACCTTTCATGGAACCATTTGGTTGGCTCATTTCAGAGTTGACAAGAGCTCGTCACCGGTCCCTATCCAGAGGCATATGAATTCAGCCCACTCCTTTACGCCCCATTTGCAGATTCATTTTAATATTATCATATCATCTACGCTTGTCTTCCAAGCGGTGTACATCCTTCATGTTTTCTAAGAAAATACTTGCAATATTCCCACCCATCGATGAAGGCCCTACTCATCTCATCATGCAGTTTTCTCCAACTCCTCGTCATCTAATGTCTCCTGTTCGACAGTAGATCCGACTGACCAGTAGTTTCAATAATATAAAGTCATCCCAATATAACGATAAAGATCATTATCATATGAGTGGGAATGTAAGAGCCAGAAAAGTGAAGTGATGAACTTAAAATCTAACAGAATGTCAGGAAGAAGACAGACTCGCATTCGTCTTCAGACGTACAGATGCTGATTAGTTTCATAAGGAAGCTTCGTTACAAGTCAAGACAGATGGCAGCCTTATATGCTGTAACTCCAGCCAGCTTAACTTGAAAGCACATATTCATCCGCTGTTGGCTTCTTGGGCCTAGTAAAGCTTCAATGCAATCCCTTTGTCCGTTCCCTCGGAATTCCTCCTGTCAGGACTTCTTAGCTACCTTGGAAGTGGGAGGAGGCCAACTCCCCGCTTTATATTGCCATTTCAGACAGTCCCCTACTTCAATGCTTAACGTTTTTTCCCCAGCGCACACCACAAAATTTTACCAATCGAAATGGTGTGCATTTATCTTACATATCAATCCTCGCCTTTTCAGAATGCAGGCACATGAAAACAAAACATTTCAGATTTTGGCTAAAACTGTAGACGAATGCATGTGGGGTGGCATATGCAGTCACTCTTTGAATTGTTTCCTCCAGTTTCAGACACAATCGGTTTATTGAGCCTCAGAATATACCAGCCTGCACTGTTTCCCCTAATGATGGTCTGTGAAGTTTGCTGGTGAACGGTACTGTTCCGGCCTACTTATTTTTGGAGATATGTGATACTGTTTCATACTGTCACTTGGTTTCTGGGTTCAAATAGTAGAACCATCTTTCACAAAGTTACAATTCTGAATAGGATGTCAACATCCACAGCAGCATGAGTGAAGCAACTATTACAATACATCAACGCATATTTTTGCGGTACTTGTGGGTTATCGGGACACATCGCTTTAAAAATAGGTTAGGTTAGGTTAATGTGCGTACAGCACTAAACGAACTAACAGATAACAACAACCCTAACCTAACCTATTTTTAAAGCGATGTGTCCCGATAACCCACAAGTACCTTTTTTTCTTTCCTGTGCACAAACTGAGAATGCAATTAAAGCACAGATTCCAGTATTCCAAAGCTGCCATCAACTCTAGGCATGGCTTGCTCATTGCATTCAGTTTTGGCGGTTCTCGACCAACTATAGCAACACTGTGAAATCCATGCTTCCACCTACCACCAGTTATACCCAGTGCTCGACTGTATTCATTCACCAGAAACTGTGGCCAAGCATTATGTTAGCACCACTACTTCGTACTTGGGAAGTCCTGGCCTGGGGACCAGCTATCCTGACCGAGGTTTAGCATGGTTTTCCTTGATACTTCCAAGTAAATGCCAGCCTTATTCCTTAACTACCATCACATTTGACCCTACTGCTGCAATATTTAACTGAAGTCATTCAAGCATCCATTACTGGCTTTGGTCTACATCAAGAAATAACCTTCTTCTGCATCATTTGACTTCAATCGCCGAGCTGTGAAAATGAATTTTTACTGGTCTACATGATGCTGCCACCTAGTTTGAAGCATCTTAAATTCTTTGAAAATGGTACATTTGGAATAAACAAAATCATATTTTTAACTTACATTTGTATTATTTAAATAATGTGATAAGAAAATAATGCACAATGAAAACACAATCCATCACCATTACAAAGATCAATTGTTTACATTGTTTAAAGAAATAATTGCTGTCTGTTCTGAGAATAAGAAACCCATAAATACACTTTGTAGGAAAAATGCAGTTATAGAATGTTAGAACAGATGGTACACACAATTAATATTCGGCCTCAAAAGGTTGAATTACGCCGCCACAATTTCCGTATGATTATTCATTAAACATCGCAGTATATAATGCTGCGCTACTAACAGCCGCCTAAAATACATAAAAAATAATGTAGTGAATTCAGCATATCTGGAATCTGGATATGTTCATTACAACTTTCAGTACAGCCCGTGTATCATGTAACCTTTTAGAAGTCTGCCCCATTGTATTGTGAACGGGAAATTACAAAAAAAGAAATTATGTGTTCCATTAACAAAACTTCAGTGTGTAATCAGAAAACATCTGCAAAACGAGGAAAGCGGATCGCAATTTACTAGATCAGATTGACTCAATTTTTTTTATAAAAATTCACTGCAGTGGCATACAAAATTATTCTCAAGAAAAATGCCCTCGCATATTCACTATATTTTAACCACTCGTCTTTTCATTTCTGGAATTATTGTTCTGTGTATAACTTTGAAACTTACTTTGTCTTCGTAATCAGGTGAAGTTTAGAGAAAGGGTTGTCTACTGTGGTGGGTCCCTTAGGCAGATACAGTCTCACTGCTAACCTTCCTTCAGTCTGTATTAATGAGCCTTTCAACAATACAAACAAATCTGGCCATTATTTAAAGCTACACAGATTATATTGCGATTTTAACAATTTCCCATTATTATGTTTGTGCTCCCAAAACGTTTGGCAGTATTCTTCAGTGCAACAGCTGCACTGAAACAAAAGAGTGCCTATTATGTACACTCCTACGTGAAGTGACAAAGGCCCACAAAAAAAAGAACAAAGTAAATATTTTCAAACACAACGCATTATACTGTATGTGAATAAAATTTTATGCATATTTATAGTTTCATTTTATAATTATTTAATATAACCTTTCAATTCTAGCTTTTTATACTGTGCTGTTTCTTAAGTATTCATTATTCAATGGTAAATAGCATGGGATAGAAGTTTATCAAAAGCGCCAATATGCTGCCATACACAATTATCAAAACATTGTCTACACCACAGGTAAATGGTTCTCTTGAGAACACCAAATGTTAAGATTTTCCATTCTGTTTTTCTTATCAATGTGCATACAACGGAATAAAATAATCATGTAAACAACAAGCTTGCCAAAAAAACATGTGAACAAAAATTAAGACATTAAAAAGATAAAAAGATATTAAACTTCAGCAGAACAAAACATTCTGGAATTACAAAATGCTAATGCAAGCAGAAAACAGAATACTTGAATATAAATCTTTAATGATTATGTATGTTTATGTTCAGTCAGAGGTCTGACATGAAGACTGCTCATTTTGGCAGCAAATGCATGTGTTAGAAGAGCCAAATGTTTACTGTGGCCATGCAGGATGAGTAGCACCATCCATTTCGGTAGCTACGGCGTTGGTTGACAGAAGCCTGTGGTTTGTGCCTCCTATTGCTGCTCCACACACATGGCATCGAGCTTCCACCATTGCTCCTCCACATTCTGTTATGATATATATATGCCCATTAGGACATTTATACCAGTGACCTTGCCTGTAGCCCATTGCAAGTACTATCTCTTTCCTCTCAGCATCTGTTATCCCAACAGCACTCTTCAGTACCTTGCTCAAATTCTCAAGTGCATTCTTTAGTTCCATGTCACACTCCACAGAAAATTTCTCTATGGAATATGCAATTCTGTGTGCTGCCTCATAATATCCTTTCACCTCAGGATCACTGCGGTTTATTCTATATGCGCCCTCACTCTTCAGCTTGTACAGCTGGCACAATCTGTAAAAACGCTGGATCTCCATATTGACGTCTTCAGTTTCCTGAACACTGATCTTCTTTTCCTGCATTTTCACAACACGCAGCAACATATCCATGTGAGCGATTAATTTACCTCTTGATTCTCCATCCAAAGCTTTGTGAGTGTTACTGTAGTACTCGGCCAACCGACGGAATATCTCTACCTGAACCTTGAGTGTAGCTGTATTTGTAGCACTTAGGATGTTTAGTCTCTTCCGCAGAACAGGCTGTAGTTCTGCTGAGAGCTTATTATACAAGATGTTGAATTCTGTAGACTCTGTAATGCAGATGATAAAACAGTTTATATATTTTTAATCAAATTATTAGGATCAGTAATAACAGCAACCACATCAGGGACCAATTCCACCCCTGCAGTTCAAAGACCTACAATGAAACATTCTGTTGTGTTTATTAAGCTACTTGCAGACTTAAAATCTGTAATCTTATATCCCCAACACAACTGTATAAGTATAATCTTTTAATATTTATAACAGCAATGTGTTTTGACAGTAAACTCTCATAATCAAGCTGTACTGTTTTTTCTTTTCTTTATTCTGCAAAAAATACTTATGTATTAAAATAACGAAAGATTTTAAATCATGTGTTAAAATATCTAAATGTTTACAACTCTTTATGAAACATATTTGGATCCACGTAAGTTACTTAAATGTCAATAAATTCTTTTCAAGGAGTTAGAGAAAGTATCTATTGGCACTCACCTGTTTAACAACAACAACAACAATAAAACATCTGCAAACAGTTACAATTATAAAAATGTAATATTACTAGGGGATTGATTTTTAAGAGCTAAGAGTTCAGAAAATATTTATTTTTATGTGCCATAAGAGTAAATGGTGGAAAATATTTAAAAAGTACTCATTATTACACAACTTACAAAAAGTCATCAGTCTCACAAACAGAAAGTGTAATCTGTTGCAGTGAGCTAGAAGTTATCTTTAAGTTGTGAACTGTAAATCTATATTTGTGTCAGTTATTGCAGAAGAGTTATATATACTAAGAAAATTTAAATTCCATAACATGATACTGGTCTTTGCATACCTGTAACAAATGATGTCACAAACACTTAAATTTTTCAGGTCAACAGAATCAACTAGGTCTTTCTCCCCTAATATATATGAAATATCATACAATACTTCAAATCCTTTATTCTCACTAAAACATGAGTGGAATTTTTGTTTTGCTGTATCAGCTTTTGAACCACTACATTCAGTTCATCCTCAACATTAATTTCTTTTATTGTTCCTTACAATAAACTTGTGTAGTCTTTTCAAACTCTGTTATAAGCATTAACACAAGAACTGAAATTTGTATAGTAGGCAAAGCCAGTTTTTAGCACCTTTAATTCATTTCAATCTTTAAATATATCTTGCAATTTTACAACAGAGGAAGCATCTTCCCTGTCCCATTCATTTACCACAGAACAATAATTTCAAAGTTGTCTGCAAAACACGCAATAGCATCTAACCAGGTTCCCCAACATATGTAATTACTAGAGTTTGACGGAATGGTTTTTCTGGAGTCTTGTCTTCATGTGATGGTTTTACAGACCCTGGGCAAAGTTTGCATTGTACATGTAATATGTATTAGTTTAATATGTATGTATTAGCTCAATGTAAGTTCTTCTGACGCATTTCTCGCACAGTGTGGTATCTGTAAGTAGCAATATTTGTCAATTTTCATCACATGGCCACTAAGTATGCTTAGTTTCATTCAAAGCACATGGTATTGTTGTGTGATTCACTGCAGACATTTCCTTGCATGACAGAAGATGATTACTCTAATACCTTGTGACCAATTTTTTCAAAACCCCCATTACAAAATTTGTAACCTTCCTTCACTTACATAGCTATTTCATCTACACACATCCAAATATATTTGTTTTCCCTCCACAATACTATTCACAATTTCTTGTGGCCATAAAGCAGTAAGATTTGGCAGCAATGTTTATCCCCATTGGGATTACAATTTAAAACAAAGTCATTCAATTCTGACAGGTCTTGTTGGAAATGTCTCTTTTCTGTGTTCCTTTGATGTGGAATTACCCTACCATGTTTGCAACCACATGAATCCAGTCCACATCATCAATATTACTCTCCCATCTACACCCAGGCTTCCCCAAGTGGTCCCTTCCTGCCACATTTTCAAACTAAAATTTTATATGCCCTTCTCATCTCTCCCATGTATAAAGAGACCCTTCATAAGAGTGAAATAAAGATTTTATGGACAAGTACTTCAAGGCAGATAAGACAACCCAATATCATAATATTGTGAAGTGTTGAGGTGAGAGCAGCATAACAATGTCAATAAACAGTTTAGTTGTCTGTTTATTGACACTGTCGTGTCCAGTGGGGTGCTACGGGCCAATGTGCAAGCGAAGAGTGTGAAGAGCGCCGAACTCGAGGGACCAGATAGACTCGGAGGACAGAGTGTGTGTGTGTGCAGAGAACAGAGACACGAAGTGTGTTGTTGTTGTTGTAGAGAGTTGACTGTATGTGCAGACCACTGTAACTGATTTAAATTTACGTGAATAAATCAGGGTTGACAATCCAGGTCGCAACGCCGACCCACGTTACAATATAATTATGATTTGTTACATTACCTTTCATGGTGCTGCTGTGTTTATTCACTAGCAGCAATTCTGCCTTAAGGTCATCTCGACTGGCTTCTATTTCTTTCCTGTTTCCAAAAACACGGCTCTTCACATGACACACATCACGGTATATCTTCTTTACTATATTCATGAAGCGTTGTGTTTTGGCAATGGGTGTTTTACATAAGGGACAATCCTTCAGTTTTATTTCTCCATCTGACTGAGCCATCCACTGCTCCAACCCTGTTGCTTCCAATACATGCTTGCAATCTTCCAAATACACAAATCTGAAATTGAAGAACAGTTTTTCAAAGCACTTAGAGAGATGAAATTCAATAAGATAATAATCATATGTATAAGCAAGTGCAGAAGAATGGCATAATTGTACTTATATTAAAATAAAATTGTCCCGCGCCGTAGCCGCGCAGTCTGAGGCATCATGCTTTGGACCGGTGATACGGAATGCGCGGTGGTTCGAGTCTCGGGGGAGAAGAAATTTTCTCATGAGCTTTCGACCATGTATGGGACCGATGCCAACCCAGCATCGTGAGTAAATTGGGAAACTACAATGAGTAGCGTAATCCGGTCATGAATACTAGCAATGGCTGGGGGTTCGTCGTGCTAACCACACGTCACCCTATATCTGGTTGGATGATCGTTCACCTCTGCTTAGGCATGTGAACGTGAGGCCAGCAGTCAGCTAGTCGGCTTTGGCTCTCTGGAGCTGTTACGCCACGGATTTAAATAATTTTAATTACAATAAAATTTGGCATATGAAAATCCAAAATAAAATGTTATTAAAAAAAGACTCAAACTCAATTGGTTTAATTTTCTTTTAATGAAACTGGTTCCAACATTAATATTGGCAGCAAACTTCAAATATGCATCATGTCTACAAATTTTGACTCATACTTTGAAGACAATGCATAAGAATTCTGATCTGTGTTACAGCTAATGAATAAATAGTCATGTCATGTTTGTCAGTAAGAACATCAAAACTGTGGGGCGCATCATGGCTTGTGCTATTGAATAAGAATCCCGAGCTTTTAACTAGTGCATAATAATTTAGTTATGTTGCAGCACTCAGATACATGTGAACAGTATGCATCACATTGTGATTTTTTTTCCAGCTCTATTGATTTACATATTTATTAGATGCTGAATTTTGAACTGATAGCACAGTCCACATGGAGGGCCTACAATTTGTTTCTTTGTCTCTGCCTTGTTATTATTCCTGACAGCAGGAAATTAATAAATGGAAAGGGCAGCTGGAAGAACACAACTGCTTCTATACAAAATGTTATGCACATCCTGCAAAGAATGCATAATAAGCTTTCTTAAATCCAGTTGTTACTACATTATATTTCAATACCTTGCATCTGGGTCATCTTCAGTTCCGAAGAACACTTCGGTGACCTCATCCTTATTGCAGATCCTGCATAGAGGGGGACATGTTTCACCACAGAAACCAATGCATGGATGTTTGCATGGCAGCAGCTTCTCACATGGTTCATTGCAGGGCTCCCTGTCACAGAACTCAAAACACAACTTTCTGCAACGACGGTGCCTGCACGCCCAGTCACAAGGCTCCTGCAACATGACAACACTAGAGGGATAACAATAATTTCATAGTTTACTTAAACTTTATTGACTGCACAAGATAATTATGAATAATGAACTGGGAGAGGCATGGAATGAAAGTGTTTTCTGTGTGTTTTTAAATACTGCCCTAACATTTATCAGGAGGGAGCAAAAAATATTATGAAAGGCTGACCGACATTGAACCCAAAGGCCTTCAAAATGTGAAAAGCTAACCACTACTGTGTAATATTTGATGGACAGACAGTATGATTTACCAATACACATAAATTAGATCACTTAGACCACCTCACTTCCTTTTTATATATAATTATGTTTATATACTGAAGACTCTCACTTATCATTCTAATAACCAATAAAGTAAAAAACGCAAAGTACATTACATAGTGAAGGACAAGTAAGTCCATTATATTGAAAAGCAATCCCTCACCTACGTAAGGTAGCGAGTCTAAGGCCGAATAAGAAACTGGAGGTTATTGGAATAATAATCACTGTTAACAATCCTTCTTTAGACATGAAACGTGCATCATGTTTAAGAATAAATTAGTCACAACACATTAAAAAAAGTTCTACAAGAGGACACACCACAATGGTAACTCAGATGCTACAAAATTGGTTTTGGATGTCATTATAGCCCTCCCCCAAGTAGACATCCTGGTGTGCATGTCACTGATTCTTCCATGTACACCCACATTTAAAACCACAGACACAAAAGAAACACTTTAACCAGCAAAACTGAACACAGATGGAGAGCTGCAGATACTTGAAATCCGTAATATTGCTAAACTTTTATGCACAGCACAAATTTTATGTTATATGTAATGTCAACAATAAGGACATATCATAAAATAGGTACCACAAAAGTAATCTGCTGTACTTTTACCACACACTACCACAGCAATCTAATGACTTATAACAAACGTTTTTATGAAAGGTGGTGAAAGTGAAGATAATTTTAACATTTCTTTTGATACATACCATAGTACTCTGGGTTTACATTTTCATTAGCTTGTTATAACAACACAAACGTAAACCAGATTATCAAATAAACATATATGAAATCAGTAACCTACTCAAACTTACACTTTCTGCTCACACATTTAATGTGGGGAAGAACAAAATCATACCCTAACACAACACATACAGCTACTTCAATTCAGAAAAGTCTTCCTTCAGAAGTGATTGCTCAGCTATGCAAATTATTACCCACTTTTTACGGAACCCAAAGGTTTGGTCACCATGTCAACCCTTTTAAAATGAAGCTAATCTAAATACCATTTAACAATTCAGTCTGTACTGCAAAGAAAACACAACATGTCCTTATTACTAGGATGAACTGCTCAATGCTGTTTTAAGAAAATAATCTGTTTATGGTGAGAATCATATGATACGAACACAAACTGGAGAGTTACCGATTGCTGAAGCAGTTGGGGGATATAGTTACTATTGGGCTTTACAGAGTTAATGATACCCAGTGATCAGACAACAAATAGAAACACACTGTACATACTGTATTTACTCAGAAAATTAAATATTATATATTGACCAAAATATAAATGTCTCTCCATTATTTTGACACGATCATTCAAACTGTTTATGCTGCATTCTCCTTCCATTTGCACCTCACTCCCAACAGAGAGAGGCATCTATATAGTCTGTGACTAAAACTTTGTACTCAATATTTTACTGGTTACTTGCAGTCATAAATATCATTTATTAACTTTGTATTGTTTATAATCTTGTATTGGTGGTTCTGTGAGACATGAGCTGTGAAATGCGCGTGCGGGAGGGTAATGACGCTGTCTGCTAGTGGTAGTGGGGCACATAGGAGAACAGCTTTCTCTGTATTACTAAACACAAAAACATCAGTGCAGGATGAATTACTTACAGCAGCTGATGAACATTTTACAAAGCTTCTATTCCACTTAATTCCCCATCATCTTCTTCTGCAACTTCTTCCTCCCTCTCCTCTTCCTCACTACTGCTACAACTGCTGGTATCACTGTCGTTTTGTAAATTAACTATAATTTGTTCCGAAATGTTGTCAATAACAGGTTCCAACCGCAAGTAATTCTGTTCGCACTGACGGAATTTGTTGCACCTCGAGCTCCATTCTTCCTTTGTGATGATGCTAAACTTTTCCTCAGCTAGTTTCATAGCATCATCTAGACAGAAACTAACATTCTTTCTGGCGACATATTCTTTGACCAATCCCCATATCAGTTCAATCAGACTAAGATCTGGGTGATATGACGGCAAGCGAAGGACAGAGTAGCCATGTTCAGCCAGTAGAGCATCAATTTTGAATGTTTTGAATTGTGGCTTATGCAGTTTAATTAGAGAATACAATTCGGGCTTACACATTCCGTCACTGAAAGGAATGCTACGATCTGAAAGCTAGTCAATCATAGCACTTTATCGAGATGAAGAAGTTGGAGCCGGATTAAGTTGTACATTATGGTAAGCTGCATTGTCCACTACTAATACCGAATTTGGTGGAATGTTTGGAATTAACTTCATTTTGAGCCATATTTCACAGCTGTCAAAATTCATATCATGATGATGATAATCTACAGATTTTGACCCCGATTTAAACATTAACAAAGCATTTGGAATGAAGACATTTTCATTGCCAGCATGTATGATGATGACTCGTCCTTTGGAGACGGGTGCAAGTAGACCTGCATTTGTACCCTCACCCCAGGCATATCCTTTTGTGTGTGAGGAGTGAATGTACGTTTCGTCCGTGTAGATGATAGGTCGCCCCTCATTTCTGTAACGACTTATATTTCTCAAATATGACAGTCTTGCTGCACGAATATCATCCTTTTCGATGAGAACTTTTCTATTACTTTCTGATTTCCACCACCTGAAGCCTAAATCTTTAATTATTTTCCAAAGAGCCCACTTCCCGCCACTGAAGTTAATCTTTTTCTTAATTACTGCCAACAACGATTTTAAAGTAGGACGCTCGCCTTGTGTAGTGTGAAATTCGTTAATCATTCTTCGAATTACACACTTGTCAAAATCATCTACATCAGTTTTAATTTTCCTTCTTGGCCGTTTTTTGTGAGGTGTGCTGAATTCTTTTCGCACTCGTTTATTATGTTCGTACTCTTTTAGAATGTGTTTCAGAGTACTTACGGACACACCAGTAGCTTCAGAAACACGATTTTGTATTAACGTTAATCACATTGTCGCTGTCAGCTTCTTTCTTCATAAAAGTGTACACACTTATCACCATTTCTCTACTTTGGCTGTGTATTACTTTACGTCCCCCTATTTTCTTTACACCTCTGCACACGCTTTGTATTCTGTTCGTGCTGAGTAGAAACAGCAACAGTGAATATGACAGGTCTATTATAAATGGGTCAATGTTTTTGAAATGGAATTTACCACACGAAGTGAACTCCATCACAGCTGGCTTATAACCGAGCTGACTTCACCCCACCCACTGTTCGAGCTGCAAATACACTGCACATCTCAAGGCCATAGCTCTTGTCCCACCGAGCGGCCTATACTGCATCATCGTGTTATGTTAATCATGCAAGTATAATTCAATATTCCATTACTTTGTTATAGTCATAACTGTAGCATATTACTGGCATAATTTCAGATCATACTAAGAATTTCACGTTGTCATCATTGGGTTCAGTTCAACATTACTTGTTCATGTAAGCTAATGCACTTTCACAATATAAATATGTTTGTGATATTTGATTTTAAAGGTAATTAACAATTACTACATATTTACACCATATAGGTGCACAATTGTCTTGCATGAAAAGCAGTTTTAAAATGAACCTTGTGATGACAACATGGCAGTCTAAATATTCTTGAGTGGCAGTAGTGACATGCTGCTGATATATGATGGCATAATAATGCAACAGACACTTGTAGAGTTATTGTGTAACAAGTGATGAAATACTGAATAATAATTATTTACACCGTTTTCTGCACAGTCCACCTCATGTTCCCCCTTAACATTTCAAAAGTACGGGAAGTCACCTGAAAAATTAATCTACTGAGTCTCAAAAGACATGCCTGTATTGTTCAAGCACTTCATAGCTGCAAGTTCTCATGAAACAATATTTCTGCAGTCTTAAAAACATTTATTGTTCTTCATCCTGTCCCTTATTATGACAACAAAAATGAAGAAGACAGTAGCAGTGATCTTGCTGAAGTTGTCAAGTATTCAGAAGTCATAACTGTCGCCATCAGGAGAATAAAAAAAGGAAGACATTCATTATCAAAGCACAATATGCCTTATGCGTCACAGTCATCAGTGGGCCAGACTTATGCATTTATTGGATAGTTCTAACATGTAAATGATTGAGAATACTTTAAATTTTGTGTGTGCGCCACCTGATGCACTGCCTTTTAACGCAGGTCACAACAAAGAATTTTGAAATATTTGCTGGTTTCATTTTGTATTGCTTTGCTTGGCTCGTGAAGGGAAATGGGAAGATTCTGACCATCATACAGCATGCCTATGTATGAGCTGGTTCAACATTAACTTATGTGTGTTACATGTTTCATATAAGTTCTGTAACATGCCACACTGTGATAAGATGGATTTTAAGATTGCATGTGCCAATCATTTTCAGACATTTGAGTACTAGTTGGAATAATCATTTTTCTGAATTTTACAAACTCTTGATGTTGCACTGTAATAAAAACTGCATATTAATCCTGTCATGTTAAAAATGACTTAAACAGTCAGGGATCTTACTTTGCATTGTAGGCATGGCTGTCCACAGATTCTGGAACATTTTGAATGCTTGCATTTGTAGTTGCACTTGCGATTGCAAGGTGGACAGGTGTCTGCACAGGGTACATTGCAACTGAAACAGTTTGAACCATAGTTTGGTCAACATTTACAAACAAGAAAAAAGTATCCAAACACACTGTTCCAGAAAATCGTATAGGTTCACTCCTCTTTTAAAAAAACGCACTGATATTGCAGTTGGTCACCTAGATGGAACAGTCAATATGGAATAAAAGGGAAAGGCTGCCCCATACCTTCCAAAGAGAACATACTTCCAACAGCAAGCTCACTGTTGTAAAGAGTTTGAACCCCAAATGCCACAGTTATTATATGCCCATGGACCAAAGAGTGATTGATGATATGAGGTGTAATTTGCCAGGTAAACCAGCAAACTGATGGACACCCCTGTTTGGTGTCAGTTGTTCCCACTTGGACACTCCTTTGAATGCAAGTGGGATGGCAGTATCTTAACATCAATCTAATCACATTTTTATGTTGGGTATGGTCACGTCCACACTGTCTGACCTCTCAGACTAAACCATTTAGACACTCCTTGAGGTGTTTGACACATTGCTTAGTCAGGTCAGCTTCCTTCAGGTCTGTTTAATTAGTTTTGACCTCCACGCTGTTCTTGCATCAACACACGTTATATAAAGTTATTTTTAGACTGGCGTTAACTGTATGAATAAGACACAGACATTCCAAGCTCAACTGAATTCTCAAACAAACTCTACAACATTGGAGAGAGTGGATTAAAATTTACATCCTATAATGGAAAGAAAGTCTTTGATTCAAATTTAAAAAATTAATCCGGTGTTTGACACAAGCTGGAGCAGACTGTCACACTAAAATAATCTTCTGCCAAAGACAGACTATCACAAAACTTCACATGCAGATATACTGTACTTTGTAACATGCAGCACTTTCAGACAATTTAAATTCCAATTAAATCCATCCATGTGTGTAGACGGCAGGAATTTAAATTCCACACATAACACTTTAAGAAAAGAACACAGGCTGAAGGTGTTTGAGAGCATGGTACTTAGGAAAATATATGGACTTAAGAGGGATGAAATTTATTTATTTTACAAGTTCCAAGAATCCAATAGTGGATATAGAACACGTCACAAACTCAAGTATAAAAACATAAAATACATACATTAAAAAATTACATCTAGACAAGCAGCGTACTAGTCGATATCTGCACACACTGCACATTTAATCCTAAGTCCTGTAATATCATCCTGACAATAAGTACAATTGTATTTTGCATATAAATCTGAAATGCAAGCACAATTATATATCACTTTACCTTATCTGCAAATACATATATTAATTCTAACTTATCCACCATGTTGTGACGTCACAGCCAAAGCCCACTAAACGCGAATGCCTGATCGGTAACACCAGTGGTACAAACCTCTCAAAAATCATTACCGTATGCACACTGGTGAGAAGCCTTTGAATGCAATGTGTGTAATGCAAAGTTCTCACGCAGCGCATCGTACAACACACATGGAAATGAAACAGTACAAATGTGATGTTTGCAACAAGAACTTTTCAAGGAATGATGATTTGAAGAAAAATTATCGCACTCATACACAAGTGAAGATTTACTAATGTGAAGTATGCAATAAACATTTCTCACAGAAAGAAAATCTTGTGATACACGGTTTTATCCATACAGGTAAGAAGCCTTACACTTGTGAAGTATATGATAGAAGTTTTTCTCAGGGTGGACATCTCAACGCGCACAAACGCATACACAAACGGGAAGAAACCGTATAATTGTGATAGGTGCAAAAAGTAGTTTCCAGTGCGAGAAAAACTGATAAGGCATTATCGTACCCACACGGGGAGAAACCATAGGGTTGTGTTGTATGCGAATGAAGCTTCACAGAACTTGTCAACCTTAAGAGTCATCTTTCTCACGTGCATACTAGAGAAATACCAAGTAGTGGAGAAGTGAATAATTTAAACTTCAAGGACTTTGTTTATGTTGTAAATATTACCCGTGAGATTTTTGCTACAATGTGGCAAGTCAGTGTTTGGAAAATAGCTTATTTTCTGTGTGTTTATTGATTTTATGTTTTCTGATATTATCTTCGATATGGATTCTTTCCCGAGTCTATTCATATGTAATCCATGTTGAGTAAAGTGGTCTCTATCTAAATTCTTCTCTACTACATATACATAGTCATAGATTTTCAATTTCTTGAGTAGTTTCCTATTAAATATTTATACTTCATTGTTTATACAGGAAGCTGTGTCTAGATCATGTCTCTGGGGTGCACTCAATATTACAATATTTGTATGACCTCTACTTTGTACGAAATTAGAAATACTCGTAAGTCCCTTGGATGATTCATTTTTGCTAATATCGTTAGTACCTCCCCACACCACGATTACATCATTCTTGGTCAGTGTTGCAATTTCTTTCTTTGCCATATTAGTGATAGATTCTAATTTCGAACCTGGTATCACTAGGCCTGAGACATCAAAATGTTCGTTCAGGTTATGAGATACTTCTGCGGCACATCCTCTCGCGTGACTATCTCCAATGATAAGCACTTTATGTTTACTTCTCGTTTTGGTCTTGATTTTCCTGTCGTCAGTCCTGTGCATAATTTCCATTCTTTGCTCTAATGATATGTTCTGTAGTTGATTGAGGTTATGCAATAGTTTATATCGGTTTACAATGGTTGGTATTGGCTGAACATTGTTTACCTCTGGCTCTGGTTACTCTCACTGCCATACAAACTAGCTAACACTTTAATGAAGTTCCGTATTTTTTATAGCATAACTATCGGAAGACTGATAACATTATTACTCGTGTTGTCCGTCTTTCCTTACAGTCCGAGTGGACGTCACTAAATTTAATTCTTCTTGAAGCAGTTTAATAGTTTTTCGGGCTGAACTGAGATTTATTAAGGCCTTTTGTAATTCTGATTTAAAATTATCACAACAAACACACACAGTTTCACTTTTTTCACTAGAATTTCTGACGAAAACTGGAGCAGCATAAACACCGTCCGCCATATCCATAGCTTGTTAGCTTGTTGTTGGATGGTGGAGAAAAATAAAAAATTAGGAGTTCCATTATTTCTCTCTTCACTAAATGTTATTAGGGATATGAAATAAATAATATGATGGGTAGGGCATGTGGCATGCATAAAGAAATTAGAAATGCATACAAAATTCTAACTGGGAAGCCTGAAAGGAAGAGACCACTTGAAATGTGTAAGCACAGATGGGAGATAATATTAAAATAGATGTTAGGTCTGAGGGTGTAGTTTGGAATTACCTAGTTCTGGATAGGAACTGGTGGCAGGCTCTATTGAACACAGTAACAATCCTTCAGGTTCTATAAAACATGAGAAACTTGTTGATTACCTGAGCACACATTTACCTTCTCAATGATTCTGCTCCACAAAGTTAGTCAATGGAGACGGATACTGCTTATTCAATACTACATTTTCTGCTTTCCAGTATTACCTGTGCCCACAGATCAGTGTCTTCCCACACTTCTCCTTACAGGCCCTGTGTATACGCCCTTGCATGCATTCTCCACATGTACCTACACATCGGTGGCCACACCTCAGTAACGTGCCACAAGGAATCTTGCACAGGGACAGCAGTACTTCCGAGTCTGGAGCCAAAACTAGAACAGATGACTACCAAGCTCACAGTCTGTTTGCTGACAAGTAAAAATACGAATGTATATTTCCAAGACACACTTCCCATGATAAAAATCAATTTCTGAGGAGTTGCTCAAAATGTATACTTTTCTAATAGTCCAATATAAGAAAATATGGAAAATATTATACAACAGTCAATTTTCAGTGGCAAATAAACAGAAGTTCCCAAACCATGAAAGGTTCTTATAACAGGAAACTGTGTACATTTATTAAAATTAAAATGAATGTATTATTCTATATACATACATGCCAGAACTCAAATATGAGCATCAGATGATGCTGACAAGTGCTTTTCTGGTTTTGCAAAGCTGTTACCACATAAATAAGCAGTTTATGACAGTTCATATCTCTCGTGGACAATGTCAATTGTTGGATAACAACTGGCATCCTAACACACAATCTCTTTCCAAAACAAATCCATGATTTCCAAGTGTGCTTCAAGTGGTGATTCAACCAATCAGACGTGTGCATATAAAAGTGAGGCATGGCACCATCTTGATATACAGAGGATTCAACATTAGCTTGTATCATCAAAAGATCCAGCTCAATGGTGTTTACCAAACATGTTCAAATGCCTCTCCTAGTCATACTGAAAATGAATACATCAATGAACCTACACTGAATCATCTACTGGTGCATGTGTAAAGCTTCAATTGATGTAACTTCCTATTGGTAATGACCCAATTTCTTGCGTCTTTTGAACAACTTTAAAACCTAATTGTTGCCTGAAACTCCTTGCATAATTTCAGAACTGTATAAATTTGGTAGTGCTAGTGTCACTACCAACCTATTCAGTAACCTGAACTGCCATAACATACATACCAATTAAAATGGAAGTTTGTTGAATAGTTCAAGTGTTGAAAGAGGGTGGGTACACAGACAGCATGGAGACCTGATGAAGCCCAGGTACTTTTCCTTCTTAAAGAAAAGTAGACTAGAAAGAGCTGATGGACTGAAATATGACTTTAATTGTTACGGTGGAAAGTGTATTAAAACTGAGGAAAAACCTTTGGCAAGAGAATACTCTCTGTAAGTAAGTTACACTCACTTTTTCTTTGCATGTAGCAGGGTATTTCTATCGAGTGTCCACACATTGGTCGGACGATACACGGAACCAGTTCCAGACACTTTTCAGTGCACGCAACAGAACAATGAGTGGTGCACTTGTGGCCACAGGGCAAGGTCCTCTTGCAAGGGTCCATGCACATTTTCGGATCTGGCTCTTCACAGCATTTCACCTGAAGATGATGTCCACAACCAACTAATTGTTTCCTAACCTGAAGCAGAGAATTGAATCAACAGCAAAGTTCGCACTAAAAATCCTCTTGGGAAAATCAGTGGTATCAAGCTGACAAGGGGATCTGGTTAATTGTTACCATTCAATTTAGCTGTGGTTTCGCACTGTAGCAGCAAACCTTCCTCTGACTTCCTGGCCAAACTATCAGGAGTTGACACTCCACTATTTCTACGTAATAATCTTATTTTCAACTTTCTTCAGGACCCTGAAAGTTCTCTGCCAACGCTCAGTTGGTGATGAGTGCCTATAGAGAATGTGGCCTGGGTTCACTTCACTTCAAAAAATACATTTTATGGCCTTTGAAGCCATTACATATAGGGTGATTAAAAAGGGACGGGGGAGGAACCTGCTTGGGAATCAAACAAGGGTCACCCATGCACACCACAGGCAAACATGCTACCAATTGAGCTGCCACGGTTGGTTCCTTTTTGTGAGACTTATGATATAGCAAAAAAGTGAAAAATAAAATTGTATTATGGAAAAAAAAGGAGGAGTGTTGGCACTTACAATGTTAGTCAGGAAGTCAGCGGAGGGTTGACTGCCACACAGCAAAACTGGAGATAAATTGGGTGATAACAATCAATTAGGTCCCCTTGTAAATTCTTAACATGAGCATGTGCACCCACCCGCCTGCTCAAGCACACAAACGTACACACTGTCTGATCAAAAGTATCTGGACACCCCTCTGTAAACATAAACTCGAGCCTAGATATCACTACGACCGCCACTGCTGCTATAAAAGGAGGCAGAGGGCTCGATGTTGTTCAGTGCTACGCGATACTGACAGAATGGGTGGAGCAAGGGAGCTCAGTGACTTATTGGTTGCAACATCAGTAAGCAAGCCGCTTTCAGTGGTGTAAAGAGCGCCGCCACTGGGCTGTGGACGACTGGAGACGCGTGATTTGGAGTGATGAATCACGCTATACCATGTGGCAGTCTGATGGAAGGGTTTGGGTGTGGCGAATGCTAGGTGAACGCTACATGCCGGCCTGTATAGTGCCCACAGTGAAATTTGGCGGAGGTGGGGTGACAGTGTGGGGGTGTTTTTCATGGAAGGGACTTGGTCCTCTCGTAATACTACGGAGCACGTTAAAGGCGGAAGGATATAAGGACATTCTGACCAGCTGCGTGTTGTCTACGGTAGAAGACCAGTTCGGAGATGATAACCGTGTGTTTCAGCATGACAATGCTCCCTGCCATAAAGCAGGGTCTGTTCATGAGTGGTATGTGGACAATAAGGTTCCGGAAATGGACTGGCCAGCCCTGAGCCCGATCTCAATCCTATTGAACACCTCTGGGATGAACTAGAAAGGGGACTGCGCGCCAGACCCCAACGACCCACATCACTAACTACGCTTGCTACAGCGTTGCAGGAAGAATGGTCGGCCATTCCCCCGGTGACGTTCCAACACCTGGTAGACAGTCTCCCCCGCAGAGTTAGAGCTGTAATAAATGCCAAGGGTGGGCCCACCCCGTATTAATGTTCACTACTGGGCAGTAAATCCAAGGGACACTTAGATGACAGTTTCGCGTAGGTGTCCAGATACTTTTGATCAGGTAGTGTATTTGCTCTCTCTATATATACCTCTCTCCCCCTCTCTCTCATATCCCTGTATTGCCTCTTCCCTATTACTGTAAAGAGAAACTGGACAATGGAATTTATTTAGCGTGGCCAACCTTCCTACAGCATCATGAGAGGTGGACAGATTGCATATGCACATAGCTGGCCAGATGCTTTGAGCTTACTAGAAAGGGCTGTGGGGCATAACAGCTCACTGACATAATCGTGAACTAATGTCGAGTGCCTGGTAACAAAAAAATGGTGAATGAATATCAAATCACAAAAAAACAGAAAGAAATATATTTAAAGAACCAGAATGGTGATAAAGACAAGTAGTTGTCAACTTTTTAAACAACTACCAGAAAAAGATGCCTTGCTTCACACTTGCTCTACTGTTTATAACAAAATCAGTGACTGCAATATTTTTATAACTCACCTTAACTTGGCAATTTCCACACACAGCAGAACAGATATTGGGACATGGATGTCCACAGGGCAGAATCTTACTGCACTTTGTCCTACAAAGGTATATTTCGGAATCCACAGAGCATGGCATGAGTGCAGGGTGTTCACAATGAGGCAGCTTCTTAGAAACTGGTATCCTGCAGTCACCACATTCCTCGTAACATTTCTTGATACATACATGGTCATCCTTGCAACCCACATTCTTTCTAGTGCATGGCTTCTCACACTGGTACTGCAAACAGAACACTTTTCTATATATCACATGAATCAATGTCTAAATCTTTCCATTCATTTAAAGAATGAAGAAAACTGTGCAATGAGGAGCTTCATAATTTGTACTCTTCACTAAATATTATTAGGGTAACCAAATCAAAGCCAACGATAGGGATGGTGTGAGGCAGGCATAAGAGATATTAGGAATTCCTACAGAGTTAGCTGAAAAATCTGAAGGAAAGAGACAACTTGGGAGACCTAGACACAGATGAAAGGATATATTAACATGTGTCAAAAAGGATATGACTGTGTGAACTGGATTCATCTGGCCAAGAATGCAAATGAGTGACAAGCTCTTTTTGAACACAGTAATGAGCCTTCAGGTTCTATAAGACATGAAATTCCTTGACTAGCTAAGCAAGCACAAAGTTCACAAGAAAGAATATGCTCCACGTAGTTAAATCTTCAACAGGGAGACTGATGACACAAAAAGCTAAACTAAATAAAATCAACTCTTTACAAAAGTAAACAACAAATCAAATTTTAAATATAACATACAAATGAATACCAACCAGAGATTACTGCTAATATGATGTATAAATTCAAATTTCAAACATAAGCCATGTCAAATATTTTAGGTTTTCTAGTGCTTTGGTAAACACTGCAGTTGCTATCTTCAGTTATTTTTTATTGGAGTTTTCTGGAAGCCTTGTATAGAGCAGGAAGTATCAGTAACCACATTGTTAGGAGAATAGGTGATGAAAAATGTTCTCATTGGCAATGTAGTTAGAAGTGATGATGGAACTTATTTTCTCTTTTCTTGACTTAAAGTCTGAAAGGCAGTTCGGTGTTTGTTTATTAGATGGCTTGGGGGGGGGGGGGGGGAAGACAAGCTTTGCAGCATACTCCGCTATTCCACAAATTAGGTCCTTCACATCCTACTCACCATCTATTTATTTAATGTCTGCTCTACATAGGCTAAGGCTAAGAACCCCTGGTACACATTCACTCTTATGCAATGTTTGCCTGAATGTTGGAGGACCTACTTACAACATTCAACATGGCTCATCCCTGAATGCCTAAGTTATACATAAAACTCCATCTACAAAACTTTAGAATAAGAATGGTAAAATAATCTTTATTATGGGGAAAACATGCTAAAAAACCAAGAACTGTGGGTGCATGTAAAAAAGTCTTACTTTACTTTGTCACATACTGGGAATCCTATAAGGTACACCAATTTTCAAAATTAATTTATTCCTACATCATTTGTGACTTTCAGAATCCTCCGTGTACATGATGTCAACAATATACAAGTATAAATATAAAACAAAAAATAATGGCCCTACTTTATACAATGGGAAATGCAAAAACTAGCAGACCGACTGAGGCAACATCTGGGAAAGGCCTTTCTCCATAACCTTCCTCCTTTTATGGACTGCTGTGCATGGAATAGCTACTATATCTGCATTGGCTATGGAAACGCTAGGACTACTTTAGATTTCAATTTCCAAAAATTTGTAGTAGAAACTTCATTACCTGTGATATCTGCATTTCCACTCATTTTGGAGTAGGCACAGTCTTATTAAACTGAAAATATTAGATAATGCATTTCTGTTTCTCATGTTTTGTAACTGATGCATCCAATGATCTGGCAGTTTCAAAAAACATTTATATACAATTATTATGCACAGATTAGGTGCAGAGCATTACTGGAAGTAGTGCTGATTTATGCATTAAAAAGTGGTTCTTTCTTCCTTATTGTACTTCTCAAACTACACACCACAAGAGTATCAGATGGGAGCATGCCACCTTGTTGTTCCACGTAATCCAACAAATTCTTAGCCCATTCAAGTGTAGATGAATGGCTGACAATCTTGTCAAGGATTAGGCTGATATCTTCATCTTAAAAGCATTTTAAAATGTCACTGTAGATTGTTTCACCCCATAACACCTCTTTCAAAATGATGGCTAACTTGGCAGCTGAAAATTCTTCTTCAAAACAGAAGCAATATTCTTTGTCAATGTCAGCACAAAGTTTCCTCCAAGATTTGCTTATGGTATTTGACTTAACAACATTCCAATCCTTCACTAACAGATAAATACTGTCTAGCAGGTTACCTTCTTCAAAAAATATTGAGAGATCACTACCTCATCTTACTTATAAAAAAGTTTCCTTTATACAGATTCTTAATCGAGGCAAACATGTCCGAATTCATGGTGGATACATGAAGTTATATTAATACCAAATATGTAACACATATCTGTCCATTGCCCGATCTAAGAATGTGTTCAATGGAACATGATGGGTATGGTCCATTAGCAACAAAGTCTTTTCTGGTAAACCGTTTGATTTTAAGCCATCTTTTGCTTGCAGCACAAACCTTAAATAAAACCACATTTTAAAAATAGAACATTCCATCCAGACCCCTTTCTGATTGAAGTATGTGATAGGCAAATTACTTTTCTGTGTTCCTTTGAAAAATGTTGCTCTTTGCACTGTCCACTACAACAGTTAATGTCTGAACCAAAAGCACCCACGTAACACAAATCCGTTATTCTTCCTTTACTCAATTTATGGCCAGGTGTACTCCGTCTTTCATGTGAAATATGAATTTGACCTAGCTGTAGAATTTCCTTTGCAATTAATTCCTGGAAATAAGTGTGAAGTTCAGCGTCAGCCTGTTAATCAGCACTCAGCTCTCACACTGAATGGGTATTTCCTAAATACCAAGTTGTTTAAATCTCATATGGCAACTTGATGCTGTGATTGCTCGCTCCCTCTTCTGAATGCAACTATTTCATGTTCATCAATCATTTTAATATTCTCAGAATTATCAATATTACTGCCTAACTATATTTTCTAATACCATCCTTGCAAAGAAAAGCCAGGGATAACTGAAAACTATTACAGGTGAGAAAATTATTACTTTCCAAAAGTTTGCATTCTCTTTCATTGTTCCAATTGGGTGAGACACTCTCTGCAGAAACTACCAGACCTACTGTCCAACCTCGACATCAGATACGATAAAGTATGGAGCAAAGGTGGAATAATACCAGAGTAAAACCAAAGGACTTGGAGAAAACCTGTCTCAGTCCAACATTGACTGACCTTGGAATGAATCTGGGTCTCTGCAGCAAAATGCCAATGACTAATTTCTGCACTATGGCATGGCCCAAAAAAATACCGGTCTTCAAAGTACAAGACTCACATACAACTGTGATTTATGAATATGCAAGATTTAAAATGAATCAGCAGGTTATACATGACAAAAATGAAGTGCCAAATAAAATTTGTGTCATTAACAAAATACATGCAGAATTATAACTATGATCACACATTCTGGATTCTTTGAAAAATGTGCTCAATATAAGTACTTACTTCTAGATGATCAGGGTCATCCTTTACATGGCAATTCAAACTACAACTGTGTCCACATGGCAGGCGGTCTTCACAAGCATGCAAACAAGAGATCAGGTTTATGTCCATGTGACAAGGCTTTTTCACTTTATGTCCACAATCTGGAAGCTCAACCTCTACTTCCACTGCACATTTGTATTTCTCAAGGTCAATGTAACAGCACAGACGCGATGTGTGTCCACACTGTAATGTTCTTGACACAAGTGTTCTGCAATCTCCACAGTCTTCAAAGCATAATTTCAAGCATTTGTGCTGGAGTTCACAATGCCCTGGTACCCTGGACACAAAGTAAATTATGATAATAATATTACAATATTTCCATTTACAGCAATAATGGGAAAATGTAACTGGCATGTAGGAAATATCAATGGTTTATATCTGCAGATGCCAAACTACAAAACAGACCCATTACAGGAAAATCTCATAAAAACAAGTGATTCAGTGGAAATAAATCCCAAATCCCATCCTATATCCCATCTCTCTTGTACTTTGTGACTAGTTGTCATCTGCTTTAACTTGTTCTATACAAAATAGTCCACGTTATATAGACAATGTCCCCTAACAAGTCCATTGCATTATATCTAAATCACATACTGAAAAGATGCATTATGACAGAACTTCCTACATGAATTAGCACTAATGGTAGACATACATGTCAGTGCACCCTGCACAGAATTATAAAACTATGCATCAGAATAGTTGTTTATTTGTGCCAGACTATAGACACTTCATAACCCAAGCTTATTAAACTTCCTTACCAAACCATTACTCTGTATCATTCTACTATTCTGCACTATATAATGAGCTCCTGAAAGATGATAAATAATCAACCCATTCATTCAGATTTCTTCCTCCACAGCTTACTATCTAATGGAGAACTTCTGCAGCACTTATAAAACTAACAGTACCACCAAGACAACTAAATAATGTATTTATTTTAAACACAGCAAATCATTTTTAAAAAAACAAGTTCAGGCTTACTACAGGAACCAAATAAAAATACATAATGAACATAATTAATAAAATTCTATTGATACATACTTACAAATGTCAGAAGTTGAAATGCTAAAATATTTTCAAACTTTTGATAGCTCGGTAAAAACAGATAAAAATGCATATTTATGTTAACTGATAAAACAGCTGGATACACTGTTTAGAGATCAGTCACCAAATTGTTCCACCAATATCCATTTGCAGTTATGTCACATAACTTCAGGATCCCTGATTTCAAGCTTCACATATTTAACATGAACACATCAATAAGTTGTGTTGACAGAACTTACACTTGTTATTTAATTTATGTTTAAAGGGACATCTTAAATTTATATGCTGATATTACAAATATGTGCACTATGAAATAATATATCTTACAGGTAATGGCAAACAATTTTTGTAGGTCAAAACATGAAGCACCAAAACAGCCATCTTCATAGTACAACCACTCCAGCAGTACATCAGCCATGTTGACAAAGACTTCAAAAGAGTAGTTCAATATGCATTCAGCATACCACATTTACAATAATATAAATGGTGTGCAAATATAAGCTGCACCTGCCTTTCAAGATTAAAATAACAAATACAATCTTATTTATGGCTGGCATCAAAATTTTTAATTAATTCTCCCCAAGTAGCATTATGTATGTTCAGAAGACAGTGATTGCAATGGCAACCAATCACACAGCAAATACATTTCCTGCCTCTCACAAAAATGCAATTTTGAGCAGAGTAGTTGCAGAATATCTGCAGGTGATACCATTAAAATCAGAAAGGGAAAACAGACAATGAATGCATGCACCAACCCCTATTCATATAAGACCCCTGTCCCCACCCATGTGGTGACATAGTTTACCTGCACAAATTTTGTGGGCAGTAGTCACACAACTATTAAAATGAAATGCACTTTACCCAGAGATTATTTCATGAGCCTGTTCTAAGTCGCTACTGCTAAACATAAGTTGTTAAAAGGTTTTCATCCCCATCCCTGCCCCTGCACATACTCACCCAATTCCCATTCAAGGACTGCTTGTTCCACTGCCAAAACACTAACAATAATGTAACTTTGCAAACAAAATTAATTCACTTCTTGTTATTTAGCGGTTTCATGCACACAACAGTTTATATATTTACTGTACTGAAATATTTTTCACTGCTGCATTGTGTCAAAAAGTACATTGCAGCACTTCGTAATCAACAATGATATAGACCAATCATCTTGCCATTAAAAATAAAATTCTAATTAAGTGCACTCCAGGTTTAAGAGATGTGAATTTGAAAAATATGTGTGGCTTATATTTGTGTAAATCTGGTATGCAGAAATCTAGTGCTGTATCTGCCATTCCAATACATGCCCATTGCAATTTTTTTCAATGTGAGATTCAGCTGTGTTGCAACATTGAACACAAACACTATATTTTTATTTGGCCCGATTAAAGCAACCTCTCTCTCCTCACCTTACACATGGCTCATGACACATCATGTTTGCATGGTCTCTGTTGCGGACATGACAGACACTTTTACATCTGTGTCCACACTGAAGTTGAGTTCCACAAATCTGCAAACAACCGCCTTCTGGAACATTGTGGAAATCTGCAGCCATGCAAACTCTAGTGAACACTGATGGATGTACCTGGCATCTCAATGTCAAGTGTGTGCCCAAAGACTCTTGTTTATTCAGTGATTCCTTGATCTTTGGCCAGATTGAGCTACTCCTTGTTAAATTGTCCATATTACCTGTGCCAGTTATTAAAATGAATGAGAAAACTCTTACTATTTAGTACACATTGCAGACTTCACAATCCAAACTTAGAATTCAAACATAATATTTAGATTATGAAATAAGAAAAGACTAAAGAAAAGGCAATGCCACACTTCCACAATTCCACTTCCATAATAGCAGAACCAGTTTCCAACAGATTTTTCTTTTTGAACTTCTTATGTAAGTCTGCGCACATGCACACTGCCTGATAACTCTTTAGTGGCTGATGAAAAAAAAACATGTCTGCAAAAATCAAACATCTAAATATGAAAAATTAAATTAAATAAAAAAATAAGGTGTGTAGAAAGAAAACCGAACCTTTCAGCAACAGCCTTCTTGCTGATGATAATAATAATAATAAATGACAACATAGAACCTATGTTTCTGGACCCAGCTTTTACATCAGGTTATGTTAATCTGGGCAACACACACAGATACTGGTTAAGTGTCACAATACAAAGAGAAAGGCAAACACAGTTACTGACAACTTGGTGAAATTTCAGAAGAAATTATGCTCACTCTTCCCCATAATAATGAAATAAAAATTGCAGTGCATGTTTCAGTCATACTGCTAGGTCAGCACACGCCATTTTCAAGGCATTGGCCCAGCCACAGCCAGTTCCTTCTCTCCCAACCTTTCTCAAACGTTTCATTCCAATTTATTTCATATCCCCCTCAAAATGCGTCATTTAATATTTTTCTTTAATTTTTGCTGTTGTGATTTTCACTCTCCTGCCAGCCCTCATACCAGCTATTTCTTCCCTTCCTCTGCATAATGGGCTTTTATTCTAATTTCTCATTATCTGTATACATCATATTATACAGTTTTATTTCCTTCTTCCCTTTCATTTAATTTTACCCATAATAATTTGTTCTCTTCTACTCCACCCATCTACTTTTACAACTGGTCTGGTCAGGGCTCTGCCTTCTAAAAACCTGCTCCTATATCTACAACTATTCCATGCATAGTGAATTCATCGCAATGATGAAAGAGGAAGTCAGGTCATCTGAATGTCAGCCCACATCTATCAGAGGACAGCCTTCTTTACTTCATGCCATGTTCATCCAGAAAATTCTTGTTAAAGTTCACTAGAATCTTGGATTCTGCTTAAGAAGTTCCTGTTTTAGCTTATAAAACGTTTCACATGCAATAAAAACATCCTTTCACCCAAAGGGATGGCATGGGAAATTTTAATGAAAACAGAAAAGGTCAATCCTAGATCTATAAATCACAAAATTGGGGGGATACGTAAAATGTAACAAGTGAAGGTACTAAAAGTTGCAAAAGAAATTGGAATCCAGGGCTTCAACGCAAGCCAACATTTAATGCAGAATTTCTTAAATAAAACAATTTCCATGTAAGATGGCAAATAAGTATTGCACAAAGGCTTTCTACTGAGTCAAAAGGACTTATATCTTACAGTACATAACAAAATCAATTCAACATCAGTGATAGCACTAGTGAAGACTAATTTTTATCCTACTGTAATTCCAACAACCATCACGTGCCTGTGTAGAAATCTACAGTCGGACATTAATATAATTCATCAAATTTTGATTTTTACTATTAATTTCATACATTCTTTTTGTTAAAAATGCTACATTGTATTCACTCATAAAGTTAAAGGAACTGCTTTCCTAAAATAAATTGATTTTTATCTTTTCATGAAGTGATATGTGACTCATACAGGGGAAACCTTGAATTGCTTGGCAATGGTTCATGCATTTCCAGCTAGGAAGGGACAGTTAATTAAACTTTATCAGTGAATGCACTATATAAAAAGTGGGATGCTTATCTTACCTGGGAGTGCACATTTTTATACATACAATTTGTTCTCAAATCACTGACAAGTAATACTTGCCAATTATGTAGAAGCCCATCTTTGCTCTGGAGAGAGCAACACACACTCTGTTCTCAATTTTGAGGAAGCCAATTTTGGCTTCCTTGTTGCTTCGTACCAATGACAGTAAGATTATGTCATTCTCTTCTCCTTGGAAGTTATCAACCACCGTTATCCTTACTTTTTCTAGTATGCCGTACTTCTTTCGTACCTAAATATGGACATACAATTAATACTTCATCTACAGAGATATTCTTCATAATCTGTGGTCTTCAGCCATTATTATTAAGAATATCAAATGTAGGAAGATCAAATAGGCGAGATATGTAACATGCATGGCAGAGATGAAGTTTACATGGATTAGGCCACTTACTCTTGATTCCCGGCACCCACGTAACTGTTTCAATAACGAAGTGTTCATCAATGCACTGACAAAGAATTCTAAACGGCTGTATTACTCACCTGACATGACCACTTCTGCATTTGTTACAGAGCTGTCAGCAAGAACAGGGACATTACTTTATTGTCACAAAGATTACATTACAATGAAACCTCTATCCATCGTTCCCGGATGCATCGTCCGTTTTGTTCGGTCCCGAATACATCCCATATAAAATAATGTTACATTTTCCCGCTTCTATCGTTCCTCGAACTATCGTTTTATCGCATCAAAAATCTTAGTCCCGGCCCACAATTTTCCCGCAATGATCGTTTCTGAGAAATTAAAATGCTGGGTTTTGAGATAAATTAATACCGAAAGACGCACAATGTTTTTGGAATAAACAGTAGCGGTAACCTGTTATGTCGCCCAACCAGCACATTCTTTTGGAATGAGGGTCAGCGGTGCAGGGGTGATAGTTGGAGTGAATGGCGGTGCCCATTGTCAGAAATTTTACGATTTTAATTAGGGTGCACTCATATTTCGTTCCAGCGATGCCAGATGGCATGTGCAGTGTGAATTTCTTCACAAATGCTTTTATTACAAGTACAAAGGAAAGGCTGGCGGCACTTTTCATTCTTCTGGTTCATCTCGTTTCCAGTGGTTCAGTGTCTTCTACGGCTACGTTTCGTCGTGTTCGGCAGTAACAGTACTTCCATTCTTCCTGTTATTGTTCCAGTCTATACTTTTGTTGTTGTTCCCGTAAATATTTTGTTATTCCTCTTACTCCTGTTAATTATTTTGTTATTATTCCTGTACCATGTCTCGCCCACTAAAGCAAGTCAGAACTCTTCAAGAAAGATTAAAAATCATAGAAGAAGTGGAGAAGAATCCATTTGAAAAAAGAATCGACATTGCTAAACGCCTTGGATTAGCACCATCTACTTTAAATTCAATAGTTGCAAAGAAGAAAGAAATCCGAAAACAAACTGACAAGTGCGGTAATTCATGCAAAAAAAGGAAAACCGGAAGGAAATCAACTTTCAGTGAGCTAGAAAGTGTCCTCTTCACTTGGTACCAGCAATCGCGGGCCTCAGGAATTCCTGTTGATGGCAACATCTTGCGGGAAAAAGCCAAGACGATAGCCGCAAGACTGAATATTGAAAATTTTGCAGCGTCGAATGGCTGGATTAGTAGGTTTAAAGAACGACATGGTATGGTCTACAAGAAGTTAGCCGGCGAAAGTGCTGCTGTGGATGTGGAAGTAACGGAGCTGTGGCTCGAGAGACTGCCAACACTGCTGGAGGGATATGAGCCGCGGGACATTTATAATGCGGATGAGACCGGACTTTTCTACAACGCCCTCCCGGATAGGACTCTGGCATTGAAAGGTGAATCTTGCCACGGGGGAATACGTGCAAAACACCGAATTACTGTTCTTCTGTGTGTTAACAGTGACGGTAGTGACAAACGGGTTCCGATTGTAGTTGGAAAATCACGAAAACCGCGTTGTTTCAAAAACATGAAAAAACTTCCGGTGAAATATCACGCCAACAAAAAGGCTTGGGTGACAACAGACATCTTTCGGCGTTTTTAAGTTCTCTGGATGCCTCCATGGGCGCACAAGGCAGAAAGATTTTGCTGTTTGTTGATAATTGTGCCGCTCATCCGAAGGACACGACATTTCTACGAAATGTGAAAGTCGTGCAGTATCCAGCAAATTGCACGAGCGTCTTGCAACCGCTTGATTTGGGCATCATAAAATCTTTCAAGCAGTTGTATAGAAAGCGCCTTGTGCAAACAGCTGTATGTGCAATGGATGCTGGGAAGGATGTCAACATGAAAATTGACGTGCTACAAGCAATTCATTTCACAGTGGCAGCTTGGCGGCATGTCTCCCAACCAACTGTTCTGAATTGTTTTCACAAAGGTGGCTACGGGTGTGAACTTCGCGCACAAGCAGACTCTATCGTCAGTGTGGATGAGCATGATGGCTTTCACGAAGACTGGAATAGATTTGGCGCCGTGAAAGACGTGGTTAAATTTGGTGACTACGCGGCAGTGGACAGCGAGCTTGCTAAATACATGCGGAGTCGACACGATTGATGAGTTCACGCTGCATTGGCGAAAGTGAAGTCGTTCTTTTATGCGCTTAATATTAGTGAACGTGACGAGGAAAACATTTTGAACGTGGAAAGTACTCTGTTTGGTCTAAAACGTAAAGTTTCGACAAACCAGTTGTCCATTAAAGACTTTTTTGGTAAAAAGAAGTAACTTTGAAAGAGAAACATTGTTTTTTTAAAAAAATTTAATGCTTTCCCGCATTCATCGTTTTTATTTCCCACCCCCGCCGAAAACGATGCATCGAGGTTTCACTGTATTCTGAAAGTATGGTAGTGTCTTACAAAATATCTGCTATTCTAATTCTATTTATTTTCCAGTGTTTCAAAGAATAGACAAAACATGTGGGAATAAAACAAAAAAGGAACGTAAACTAAACTGCCGGTCTGATTATTTTAAAACTTCAGTACACAGGAAAATGCATTCATGTCTAATAATCTACATTTTATTTGGACATTCTGGATTAAAACTACAATTACTAAACTTTATTTTATGAATCTCTATACACTTTAAAGCATTTAAATACCAATTTAATCCAGTCATCAGCTTGTACAAGCTAATTTAAAGTCTACTATCCTAAATGTTAAAATCATTAATGAAATTTGATATAGATTTATATGAAAATCTGTCCATAAATTCCATAAAATTGAACAACAATATTGACCTCTTAAAATAAAGACCTGCATTTCTGTGTGGTGTCGCACGCAGCTTTCATTACAGTGGTTATATTTAGTAACTATAGATACCTGAAGTCTGCAGCCACAACAACATGGAAGAATTCTCTGTGATGTCATCATTCAGTCAGACAAGCACCAGGCAACCTGCTCATGCACAGGTCACTGACTAAGGAACTGATGTCACTGGCACCATTCAGAAAGGTAACAGTTTGGTGAATCCTGCATATTGGTTACATTTCCTAACTTGATGTCTGCATCTGAATCTTAAGTGTTATTTAGAATTTAATTTTTTCTGAGCAACAAAGAGAAACTAACCATAAAATTACAGATTCTGTGCAGTTATGAGCTCAAGATGATGCTAAAATATTTGTTTTAATTTTGAATTAAGAGAACATGAGATTTCATTTGAGCAAAGTAATTTGTAACAGCCTAGTGCTTTGGGGAGGGAAGATTATACTTTATTTCCAACAGTTGAAAGATGTACAAAAACATGCAACATGTAAATGCTTCCACCAGCATTATGGGAAAGGGTTTGGGTGCATACGAATATTTTCCACTGCAGATGCAAACTCTTTAACAAAATGTCAGTTAATGGACAGAACATAACACACAATATTTAAAAACAAATTTTTGTACTTTCCTCAAGTAGCCAATTAGGATGCACACTGTTATACTCACACTACGTAGGTAAAACAGCTGCCCAGAGTATGTTGTCAGAATAGTAATGCAACTAGGTGAATATCCCTGTAGGACAAGATAACGACACAGAGCGATGAGAAAGTCGCCCTCATGAGTGTTCCTGTGACTAGATGTGTCATCTACCTGCAACATAAGAGAAAATTCTTGATTATTTAATACTTGCGCCAGAACAATCAAGATTGTAATTTATTTATACAATAACAAAGCTGCAATGAAGAAAATAATTACATGTATTTTGTGTATATAGTAAATCGTCGTTTCAAACAAAGAAACTAGCAAGTTAATTATTAATAACTGTGACAATATTTTATTTATAAATACAAGCACATGAAACATAAAATACATCCTCTGATAGCAATATTCCACATTCAAACTATAACAGAATTGCACTCATAATTGAAATGTTACATACCTCTTCTTCTGGATAATTGTGTGTGATAAAAAACACACTGTTCAGCATACCACGAATTTTCTCATATTTCAACACAGAATTGTGGTTCAGCAACTCTGGATAGATGGTTGGAACAATCAGATTCACAATTTCTGGTCTCATACGGTGCTGGACTTTCAGTATATCACAGTGCATCTTGTTCTTCAACATCCGCTCAAAAAGAGAGATGTCAAAGTTGTAGTCACGTGCAAGTCGGAACACAGCGGGAGAAGGCCGCAACTGCTGGTGGTCTCCTGCACACAGACAACATAAGTTACATTCCACGAAGTAAAATTGGTGTGAAAACTTTAATATCATGAACGGATATGGTATCTCCACTCCCTCATGTTATCATGGCACAGTGCTTACACACAAACAGTAAAAAGTAAAGTAAAGTTTGTCCCACTATACGCCATGTAGGCGTTTGGGGTGAGTGGAGGTATAGCTTCTCTCTTTCTTGACCTCGCCACTAGTTGGGGGTGAGTGGTCAGAATCACGCCCCGACCGGCTTTACCCCCGGGAAAGGACCCCGGTACCCATTGTAGAGGAGGCTGGGTGGGCCCCAGAGCCGGTCTGGACGCAGAGGCTAGAGGAAAAATCCTCTGCCCCCGTCGGGGATCGAACCCCGGTCATCCAGCCCGTAGCTAGTCACTATACTGACTGAGCTATCCTGGCTCATACACACAAGCAGTAGTTTACATTTTTACCTCAAAAATTGTATCTTTACTACAAGATTTAATAAGATAATAGTGATAAATAGGATTAATAGAGAAGAAAGTCACTTTGAGGTTTCATCTCAGTACATATCTCAAAAGACAGGTGAAAGTCATAACAAAATTACATTTTGTAAGAAACTATAGGTCAACGGTTACATCAGGCAAAACTTAAACAGAAACTATACTCATCTGCATATGAGTTATGTATTTCCAGAAAGGCCATTTCATTAGCTTTTACACAAGTCACACATAAGCCCTATAACTTGTACAGTGCATAATTATCACATTTTTTTATAATTTTACACCAATGCACCACAAAACAGCATGACAACAGGGTGCTGAAATTTTGCAAGAATACTATTTTCTATAGAGTCCATCAACATCCATCGAAATTTGAGAAGGTTGGGTTGGGACTGTGATAACTTGGTATGGAATGACTGGTGTCAGATTTGTTTCACAGAACTCTGACTTGAAGTAGCAAAAGTAATTCAGTCAGGTCAGTGAAGAGGGGTGCACTAAGAAAATGAAGGAAACTCCCGTAAGAGAATGAATAGGGATGGTCCAGTCCCTTCTGTGCACTATGGAAATGGTAACCTGTGGTTAGGGGTGACATTTTACAAACAATGAGGTTTTCTGGATTCTGTATGAAATTAATGTAGTATCACAATGAAATACTGTTGTTCAAAACAAGCCCAACAGATTATCATCATCAACACAGACCAAACGCTGATGTGTCTCATTCAATTTGAGACCGCCCTGATTTTCTTGGACTTTCCTGATGGCATATTCAAAGGCAAAATTGAAATGCAGTGGCAATACAGCATCTCCCTGTTTCAGACCATTCTGAATAGGAAATGTAGGTTTACCTACACAAATGTTACTAGAGGTTTCACTTAAACATGTTTTAATTAGACTAACTAGCTTCTTAGGTACAAGAAAAATATTGTGAAGAGCCTCTCTTTCAACTGAGTCATAAGCTTTCTTGAAGTTTATAAACAGTCAGGCTGTGTTCAGTTAATGAGTGGGCCTGGGAAAAAACAAAATTTCAAAAATAAATGAGAAGAGCAATTTTGTTTTGTCAGTGTTAAAGATGCATTTGTCATGCTGTGCTACTGTTTCAACAACAAAAAACAATGTCAAGTGATTTTAAAACTAACCACAAAGACTTATATTACTTAAACAGCTGAGGAAGATATTCTTAGCTGAATGTGGCAAGAATCACAATACTGAAAGAATATGTCCCAAATGCAGGAATGGGGTTTACACTGACCTTCACTAACACAACTGAAATGTTCAGTTTCTTTGTATTATATGGACCATTCACCTATTTAGCACTGATTACAAATTAGCAAAGCTTGAAAACTACAAGGTAAGTTTATAGATACAATCTGTGTACACGTCTTTAATTTCTTTCCATTGCATGCCGACACATTTTTTGTAACCTACATTCATTAGTTATAAGTAAATGTAATTAGCAGTCATCAGTACAAAGATACATACAGGAACAGCAGCACATACCAATTAGGATGAGATGTTCACAGTGACGTGTTAGAGATACAACAATGTGGCTCTCCATGACCTCTGCTGCTTCTTCAACAATCACTGCAATCATACAGATATTCTATTTATTTCTTTTAGATAGGGCTGAGAAAAACAATGGCAATATAAGGTTGGTACAGGAAGGACAGGAATGGCCAATTAGAAACCATGAATGGAGAAAGCAGGGGTGTAACCCTGACCAGGCCAATGAAAACAGGAACAGAACTTATCCTTATCAGGTCCAGAACAGACAGAGGTGAAAGCCAAAAGAAAGTATGTGTCTACCCTTTTAGAGATCCTCCTTTCCTTACTTCAGTGTGTGGATGAGATGCTCCCATGTCCTGATCCTACATTACCATTCCACTTCCAGCTATACTCCACTCATCCCTAAAGATGGAAGTACTTTGTTCCTTCAAAATGTTAACACCAAGAAGACTACACAGAATAATAATCTGGACACTTTACGTTTACCAATATGTTCTGTTATTACTACAGTTTTGAAGACAATTAAAATTGGCACTTTCCTTACCTATTTTTGCTTGAAGGGCCTGCATTAATAACTTGAGTCTGGCAGCTCCAGTAGTTGTTATACCAACAATCAGTGAATCTTTCAGTATTTCAAGGTCATGAATTTGCTGTACTTCTTCATACATCTTGGCTTCATCACGTAACTTGCGTTCTACCTTATGCAACTCATCAAGCAGAACATTCCTTAATCTGTCCACCCAGTATCTGTAAAGAGTCCACCTATCTTCTCCCTGCAACTGCCACAAGTTCACTTGTTGCAGAAGATACTCCACTGTCCTCCTGTTTTGATTCCCTTGCTGGCTAAGTTGTCTCTTGATATAGTTCATCTTAAACTTCAAGTCCTCAGATATCTCCTGCTGCATTTCCATTTGATCAGCAAGGCTAGGATCTTCCTTAATTTCTCTCTCCAGGTCCCACCTTTGTAACTCACTCCACTCTATTTCTGCTTCAAGTCTCCCTAAATCCAATGAAAATGTCAGGTGAGACCTAATAATATGAACATCTAATTCCCAATCCATCAAGTCATCTATCATGCAGTGCTGCAAGCCTTCTGTTTCATCAAAATTTTCTTCTGCTTGATTATCTGCATGAACATTGTGACCTTGATTATGATAATGATTTCCTTCTGCTTCATCTGTAGGTACATAATCAAACCTTCCATACTCAAGCCACTCAATAAAGAGATTTTCAGAAATTGTACGATCATGAGATGCAAAACAATTTAAATGCTGATCTTGAATTATTTGAAATTCTTTTAGGGCATGCAAAGAAATAATCCCTTGATGGGTGGCTATCATTTCAAGATCTTCCTGAATGATCTTTATGCGTCTCATTATGTCTGACATTCTATAATGAATGTCTTTTGAAAGATTAGACAGATGTGCCCTTCTCCTGTGTTTCCTACGCTTCTCCTTCAAATTGAATGCTTCTAGAACTAAGCTTTTTGACTGCCCGCCAATTCGCACAATTCTGTCGGTGACTGGAATCAATCCTTCTAGAAACTGATCTAAGGCATGATTTGTGTAGCATACCACAAGCATTGGCTTGGAAGAAGCATTCCATATAGGAGCATTTCTAAGCAGCACAGTAGCTACTTTGAGTCCTATAAATGTTTTTCCTGTTCCTGGTGGTCCCTGTACGACGACAAATTCTTTTGTAAGAGCTGATTTGAAAGCACGGTATTGAGACTCATCAAGTTTCAATTCCAATGGCCCTGGCCAAGAATTGTGTTCCAAAGCAAAGACTGTGTTGCCATCTATATCCAAAAGGACTCCTCCCTCAGTACACATGTACTTTGGTAGATCATCTGATATTTGAGCATGAATGATGTATTTCTCCATCGGGAATGATTCTGTCTCCATGTTCTGCAATGCCTTCAAAACATGAAAATATGGCTCAAAGTACACTTGTGATTCAGCCATTACAAACTCATGAGAGAATATATCATTAGAAACAACAAAGCCCTGACTAATTTCAACCACAATCTTCCCATTCTTTAACTCTGTAATATCTCTATCCATGACAGTTGCAAAAATTACATTTGTGAAGTTGTCTCTTGAGAATGCTAGTAATGTACCAAATAAAAATCGTTTAGAATGCTCCCAGATAACTCTCTTGAGATGTCTGTCAGGGTCAAAACATACAATCAGTCCAAGTCGGTCATTTACAATCTTTGGGTTGAGGAAAAATACCTTACGATAGATTCTTACACTGTTAATTTTATTTATCCTCTTTTTATCACACATATTTACATATTCCAAAATCCCTTCCCTCAGTGGCGACACAAAATCTTCACGCAACAAACGAAACTGTGTATCGAGGTAATCATCCACACTCTCATATGCCCCATCAATGATGTTTGGCCTAACAAATCCTGGCTCTTCAGTGAGGATATCTTCTGGTTTTGGGAATACACTAATTTCTCTAAAGTTATCTTGTGGCACTTCCAGAGCAAAACTATTAGTATTTTCACCAACTTTCTTCTTTTCTTCTCCTTCAACACAGGTCTTAAATTGAGCTTGGAGATATTCAAAGTTTTTCTTCAATTTTTCAATACTAGCAGCTGTATCATGTTGCCCTTCAAAGATTTTCATCATCACATCAGTCATCATGAATATATTTTCAAAGCCTTCAGCTGCTTTACTTGGTAGAAGCTTAATAACACTTTCAAGGAAAGTCAAAAGATCTTCAAGAAAGTTGCCAACATTCTCTTTCCTCTGTTTGTTCACCTCAAGTGGAATAAGAGCTATATGCTTTGACAATTGATCTAGAAAGTCATGATGACAAGCATAAGACAAAACAGCAGCCTTGTTTTCTTCAAAGTCAGCTTTACAAAATTTTGATAAAATTTTGACAATTAGAATTAGCAAATCAGGCCTGAGTGGCTGCTTCAGTAAAGTTTCAAACCCTGATCTCCTATTGGCTAACACCATAATAATCTTATAGGGCTCTTCATCAGCCAGTTTTTCCAGGTATCTGTACCCAAGACCACACTTTTGCTCTCTTCTCTGTTGTGACATCCCTTCATCTTTCTCCTGTTTGGGCTGCACAGGAAGAATGTGCTCCTCAGTATGTATACGTGAGCCACGACTTCTGTTACGCTGATGCAATCCTTCTGCAAGAAATCTGCCTTGTCCTGCCTGTGCCTGAAAAGACTCTCTTATTTTGTAATTGATATTCGAAGAACCTACTTCTTTCTTCTGGTATCCAGGTTCAGACGGTATCTTGGCTTGTTTATTCTTTCCCTTCTGACATTTAGAAACTCTCTGCCATCCATCACCAAATGTAGAATAGCCTGAACTTAAATGTTGTCTTCTGCCTCCAGCTTGTTCTACTTCTTTATGTGTACATGGCAGATTATAATTATTGTTTTTGGAAATGCCCTTTTCCTTCCTAAGAAATGTTTCATGCTTTGATGTATCTTGAATATGCAACATTTTGCCTTCTTTTGGTAGTACATTACATTCACTATGTTTGGTTATATTCTTTTCCTTTACAGGAAACTGTTCACACTTTTGTTTGTCCTTACTCTGTGTGCTATTCCTAAAATGGTCCAACTGCTCTTCTTTGTTCTTTGATGATGTATTCCTTTTGAATGGTAATACATTTCCTTCCTTCGTTGTTTCTGTATTGCATCCAGAATCATGCAGTGCCTTCCTCTTCACACTCGCAAGAGTGGCATAGAAATCATCAGCCAGACTTTCAGCCATTGTTCTACGTTCCTATCATCATTTAGGAAATCTATTAAGAAAAAGAAACAATCATAACATTAAAATATGATTCATCAAAGTATTTAATTTGTGTAAAATGCTGGATAAAGAATGTGACATGAATGGCACGGACAATAACAAAATATTTTACATGAACAGATTCGGCACCAAAGGTATATCTACTGTGTACATTTATAATGAGATGATGTTGACTGGTACAAGTCAATAAATCTGCAGAGTCCTTACACTTCATATCATAAGTGTTAAAGATCAGATCTTAAGATTACCATATATCACAAGATCCTCACTTAATGGTACCTGCACCTTGTCGTGGTGGTGGGGCTTGAGTACCTCAGTGATCCCAAGAGCTAGTCTGGTGGTAGCATAGCTACTGGTGGGGGCTCCCTAGCCAGATTGGTCGAGGAGGAGAGGTCAGACTAAGACAGGTACCCTGGTCCTCCACTTTCAGGGTTGGTCACAACGCTAACAACCTTGCACCGTAAAAAGGAAAATGTCTCAAAACCTCAATAAAAGCCTCGGACAGACGGACCTAACAGAAGACGAATTAAGCGAAAAGATAAGGATATTGAGATTGGTACGTGGAATGTTAGAACCCTTCTTAAAGCAGGAGCATTGTGAGTATTTACAGATCAATTAACTAAATATAGAGTACACATAACAGTGGTACAAGAAACAAGATGGACAAGTGAGGAAATATGGGACACAAAAACACACACTATCTATAGCAGTGGTAAGAAGAAAGGAAATAGAGAGGCAAGGGTAGGCTTCATAGTGGACAAAATATTTAAAGGAAATGTGATGGAATTCCAACCCATAGATGAAAGACTATGCAAAATAAGGTTCAGAACCAAGTTGTGCAACCTGTCTATCATAAATGTGTATGCACCTACAGAGGATGATGAAGCAATAAAAGAAACGTTTTATAATAAACTGGAGCAGATAATAGACAGCACACTATCTAATTATCTCAAAATGATAGCGGGCGATCTAAATGCACAGATTGGTAAGGAAGAAATATATCAAGGGACAATAGGGAAACAAAGTCTACACGACACATCCAATGATAATGGCCAAAGACTCATTGATTTAGCCACTAGTAAAAACATGATAATCAGCTCTACTTTCTTTCCTAGGAAACAAATACATAAATATACATGGAGATCACCAGATGGAATAACTAACAACCAAATCGATCATGTGTTAATAGACAAGAGAAGAGGTACAAGTGTAATAAATGTCCGAACACACAGAGGAGCAAATTGTGGGACTGACCACCATTTAGTTAAAACAGTCTTCAGAGGAAGAATAATGAGACTTCCAAAGAATGGTACAAAGGCAGTGCAAAAAGTAAATATTAGTAAGCTAGAAGATAAGAAGACCAGGAAAACCTTCGTAACCAATTTAGAAGGAAAATTGGAAAGTATGGGATTGCATCAACCACAAAATATATCAAATGACACGGGGATTGATGAAATACGGGGAAGACTTAAAGAGAGTGTTGAAGAAACAGCAAAGGTCACACTCGGGACAGTACAATTTGATAAAAAGAAAGAACGGTTTGATGAAGAATGCAGAGAAGACATTCAAGAAAGAGATAAAGCTTATCAAGCATATTTAGCACGCCCAACCAGAAAAAAGAAACAAGAATTAGAAGAACTGAATAAGAAAGCTCAAAACACTTGTCGCAGGAAGGAAACACATAACAGAGAAGATAAGTCAAATTAATGAGGAATTTAGAATAGGGAACCTTCGTAACCAATTTAGAAGGAAAATTGGAAAGTATGGGATTGCATCAACCACAAAATATATCAAATGACACGGGGATTGATGAAATACGGGGAAGACTTAAAGAGAGTGTTGAAGAAACAGCAAAGGTCACACTCGGGACAGTACAATTTAATAAAAAGAAAGAACGGTTTGATGAAGAATGCAGAGAAGACATTCAAGAAAGAGATAAAGCTTATCAAGCATATTTAGCACGCCCAACCAGAAAAAAGAAACAAGAATTAGAAGAACTGAATAAGAAAGCTCAAAACACTTGTCGCAGGAAGGAAACACATAACAGAGAAGATAAGTCAAATTAATGAGGAATTTAGAATAGGGAACACATATATGGCGTACAAAGAAATAAAGAATATAAAAGAAGGGTTTAAACCAAGAACTAATATCTGCAAAAGCAAGAAAGGAGAGCTGTTAGGAAATGGGAAACAAATCCTATCCAGATGGACAGAATATTTTGAACAACTACTCAATAGTTCGGAAGCGGGAGGAACTGAAACCGAGAAAGGTGAAGGATTAATAATCGATCAAGATATAGAAGATACAGATGAACAGCAAGCACCCACACTAACAGAAGTTAAGGAAACCATTCACAAATTAAAAAATAATAAAGTGCCAGGTATAGATTTAATAACAGCTGAAATCTGGAAATATGGAGGAGGTATGTTAATAACAGTGCTGCACCACCTTATAAACAAAATATGGAATTTAGAGCAAATGCCAGAAGGCTGGAAGAAGAGCATAATATGTCCTATATACAAGAAAGGAGATAAACAAAAATGTTAAAACTACAGAAGGATATCGCTGTTATGTGTGGCAAACAAAATGTTTACAAACATACTGAAAGATAGGCCACGGCCATATGCCGAAGAGAATGTCGGAGAATATCAGGCCAGATTTAGGAGAGGCAGGTCTACCACTGATCAAATATATACTGTTAAGCAAATACTAGAAAAATGCTGGGAAGGTAACACAGATATTTGTAGGCTTCCAACAAGCATATGATTCCAATTCAAGATACCTCGGAAGCTAATAATACTTACAAATATGACGATGGAAGACACTAAAGCACGTGTGAAGATATAAAATCAACTGGGAAACAGCCTTACAATAAATCAAGCAAGGAGACGGTCTAGCACCACTTCTCTTTAATCTTGCCCTTCAGCATGTAATTAGAAAACTGACAGTAAACACCAAACGCACTTTGGAATATAAAATGGTACAAATGGTAGGGTATGCGGATGACATAAATATTTTGGGAAGATCATTAAGATCAGTCAAAGAAGTAGCTGATGTGCTAGACGAGAAATGGAAAGAAGTTGTATTACAAATTAACACAAGGAAAACAAAAGCCTTAATACAAACAAGAAGGAGAAGATCATTAGATCATCATATAAAGATCAAGATACATGAAATAGAAGTGGTGCAAAGATTCACATACCTGGGAGTATGCATAACAAATATGAATGAGGAAATGGTAGAAATACAAAGCAGAATTCGAGCGGCCAATAAAGCATATTTCTCGTTATTACCACTGATAAAATTCCATGGAATAAATAAGAAAGTAAAAATCACATTATATAAAACACTCATCCGTAGCATAATATCATACGGGGAGTGAAACATGGGTACTCAACCAGAATGCAGCAGATAAAGTGGATGTTTGAACGGAAAATCCTGAGGAAAGTATTTGGCCCAACACAAGAAGCAGGTGAATGGAGGATAAAAACTAATCAGGAAATTATATAAAGACACACCATTGTCACAATTAAAAAATCAAGAGACTACAATGGGCAGGTCACCTGATTCGGATGGACAACATCCGAATTCCAAAGATGGTATTCAAAGGAAGTGTTGGAGGAAGACCAGTTGGAAGACCCAGGAACAGATGGGAGGATTCAGTTCAAACAGATGCCACACTGCTCCTGAGGATTAGAAATTTGAAGGCAGCGGAGGATAGAACCGAATGGAAGAGGAGAATTGAGGAGGTCATGGACCGAATATGGACCGGAGAGCCATAGGAGAGAGAACTCAGATGAAATGATCAATACAATTTTTCAACAATGTAAGCTACATCTGTGTGTATATATCTTTCATTCTGCAGATTGGTGATGAACAATTCCAAATTTCTTTACTAGCTGTTTAGCTGTATCACATAAGCACCTGGAAATCATTTTGGGGTCACCCCGCCTCAATTCAGAAAATTCTCGAAAAATCAGTGGCACTCAGTATTACAAAATTCTGTACTACTTTGTATGCAAAAAGTGCAGTTCCTTCAAAGCAAGCATGTGCATTTTGAGTGTTTTCTGATAGTGATCTTTAAAGATACACTTATTTCCTAACAGAGCATTGCACAGAAACAGCCACTATGTGATTTTTTCCAGGTTGAGACTGCCATAACTCTAAAACCATTACTTGTACCCTCAAACTGTATATCAGCTACGCACTGTGTTTTTGCTGTAGACACATCTTTTTATAAATAATGACTCTGTGACAGTAGCAGAATATTCAGATATAATTTTAACAATAGAAGGAATGTAAAGGTTCCTGATTGTAACCCCATCAACAACAGCTTCGGCAACAAAAGCCTGAAAGAAATGTCAGAACTGTGTGGACACCAGAAACACTGAAAGGGTATGAACCGCTATCAAGTTGAGTATGGTTATTTACAGAGTTATGCCATCCTGACATTGACCTTGACAATGTATGGCACCATAAGATGGAGCAACAATGCATGCTGCCCGGCAGTGCAAGAATACTTCAAGGACTGTGAACACTGAATAATTTCCCACTATGGTGGCATTTCTTGGCCAGCCCATTCACCTGATCAGTGAGCTTGTGATATCTTTTCATGGGGCTAAGTGTTTCAAACATCTGGTAGACTTACATAATCTCAAACAGAGAATTTCTGAAGAAATTAATGCTGTATCACCAACCATGTTATTGTGTGTAATGGAAAAGTTTTGAATCAATCCATCAGCACATCAATCTTGCTAGATGACATCCAACAGGTTATGATTTTAAGAAGTGACATTTTTATAATGTTTCTCAACAATGACAAACGTTTTTCTGTTCTTATTACTTTGAATAATCTGTTCACCTGGTGTATCCTTAAAAAATTATGAATGAATGCTGGCACACTTGTACACCTATATTTAATACTAATTAAGTTTCTTTAATTTCCTGTCATTTTATCTATATTTGCTAGAAACATTTAAAATAAAATATACAACAGCGTTAATTAATGTCCCAACTATCATACTATCATTTGTTGTATTTTATTTGTGAATACAACGTGTAACAATTCAATTTCTTTTTATATTTGGGATGGGCAAAGCCACCCACTGACTCAGCACTTCCAAACTATGATCTATGCCTGCCATTAACACAAAGCAGTTAATACATAACTGTACACGTATCATCTCCATTTTTGATTGTCGATGTGCGCTTATTCCAGACGAGCCTATCATCATCACGTCTGCAATGCTTAATTTCGCAGACGGCAGCAGAATTTTACTTACTTTTACATTAGTAAATCATATGACATATGTTAAAATTACACGTCAGACTTCTCAATAGTTACAAGATTATTTTATCCAACACCTCTTTATTCACAACCTTCTTCACACAGGGGGAACCCCAACTCCACAATCGAACAGTTTGGACACGTCACGAGTAACGAACAGCAATACCAACTTCTAATCTGACATCATAAGTATACAACATTACACTTCACATTACTCATTTTCTGTGAATCTCCTACATAATTATCATAATAACGAATCATAAGTCCCACTCTTAATTTAAGCAACAAAGGCCTTACTCGTGACATTTTATCAGAAAAAGCAAAAATAACTGAATGGGTTATTTATCAGCGTTTCGAAACAGAAGTTGAAACTGTGTATACTGCAAACAAGCTCGAATAGTAATAATAATAATAATAATTTATTTACATTCCATGGATCCATAAGACAGTCAGATGACGATAGGATGTGGAAAAAGTCATAATAAAAATAATACAATACATATTATAAAGTACAATTCGTACTATTATATAAATTTCACATAATACAAAAGAAATGATAAGTTACAAATAGATCTACCCATTACACACAGAAGAAAATTTATCACTTATTTGTAAACAACATAAATTCATTGACAGAGTAAAAGGAGTGTGTAATTAAGTATCTTTTTAATGCTACCTTAAATTGCTCCTTCATATTTACAAGACTTGTGAGATTTGATGGTAGACTGTTGAAAATTTTGATTCCTGCATAATATGCACTCTTCTGAAAGCATGAGAGGTTATCTGATGGTGTCATATTACAAACGAATTCAAACATGATGGTGTTCCTGTAGCCGTGTTGGAAAATCTGAGTCTCACACTTCTACATGTCCACCGCTTTCCTGTCCTCTCAATGATTACAAGTAATGCACGTAATGACGGGCGCATAAAATACAAACCACGAACCCTAAAGAGCGTAGATACTACCAACATGTTCATAAGCATTGATTAGAAAACGCCTCTAGAGCAGATCAGATCGGTTGGCAACGCGCTTATAGTCATTTATTTTTTATATTCAGAAATAGCACGCAGGCCCAGAGTGCTGGTACCGGTGTTCTGTCGGTAAAAAAGTTGGCTGCTATTTAACGTAAAGACAGAATAAGTTCCTCTACAGCATCAGTAATTCAAAATTATTCGATCTTGCAACAACTAGAATCGTCAATAGAGGTTGTGCAGCTGTTTAAATAGTCCTTCCTGAAGGATTTAAATAACAGATACATCATGATGAAAAACTTTTAAACCACTATTTCTACTCCATGGAGCCAAGTCCTTCCTGCAAATACACTCAAGAAATTTCCATTTTATAAAAATCAAAGGTTCATTACCATGTTCACAAGAGCCTGCTATACTGAGCCAGATGGATCCAGTCCATACAAACTAAATTATTAAATATTATTTGGATGAGCTTTGGCTTTAAAGTATTAATAAAAGGTCTCTACACATGGATCACAATGATAAAATCACCAAATTTATACTTAAATATATGTCTCTTTTTTCATCTCTGTACTTTAATCTAAGTCTGTCTATCAACTACATCCATTCTTGTTCCCACATTAACATTTACTTACATATCCAAGTGTTAATTTTTATACTCTTATCTATCCCTTGTGTGTCCATCTAATTTTATTTGAAGAATCTCATCTATGTCTTTCATTCCATTGTCCTTTCTACTTATATACACAGATAGACATTAAATTTTATCAGTGTATATGTAAATGTCTGCCTTATACAACCTGTAAATCTAACCTCTCTGTCTAGTCAAATGCATTTACCTGATCCATTAAACTATGTACATAAGAAAACAACCTGATCAATGAAATCTATCAGAGAATCATTATCCCATGTAATTTCATAAAGGTAAGTCCTTCCTAAGAACAGTAACAGCTATTCAAGAGATTCCTTGCCTTTTATGTAGGACCATTAATATGTTCTGATGAACCCACCACTGGCCACGAGTCAAACACATGCTGGCCAAATGCTCCACAATGTCTTCAAGGCCGATATTAATATAACCCTCTCAATGTCTGACTATGTATCCCATCAGTACTTGAAATGGTTGTAAATGCTCTTCAAAACATCACAACTCTGCCTAATCCTAAAACTATGGAAATGCTGAACCCTGACTCAAACCAGGTAGAGACAGCACTTTCATTTCAAGTAGTAAATAAATGCAAGTTATCGAGGATCAGACTCTCAATAAATCACATTGACTTGATATATTTGGAATGTATAACATGGCAACTTGATGATCATCCCTCTGATGTGCATATAGTCATACCTCGCAGATATTGCGGGTTCGGTTCCAGACCACCGCAATAAAGCGAGTCACACAAATTGTTTGGTTTCCCAGTGCATATAAAAGTTATGTTTACTCTATACTGTAGTCTATTAGTGTGCAATAGCATAATGTCTAAAAAAAACAATGTACATGCCTTTATCAAAAATACTTTATTGCTAAAAAATGCTAACCATCATCTGAGCCTTCAGCAAGTCATAATCTTTTTGCTGATGGAGGGTCTTGCCTCGATGGCTGCTGACTGATCAGGGTGGTGGTGAAAAAGTTTGAAATATTGCAAGAATTACCAAAATGTGACAGTGACATGAAGTGTGCACATGCTGTTGGAAAAATGGCGCTGATAGACTTGCCACAAACCTTCAATTTGTAAAAAACGCAATATCTGCGAAGCGCAATAAAGCGAAGCTCAATAAAACGAGGTATGCCTTTATCTACTTTGGGAAGTGATTCACTGCTGGTCTGTGTTTGGTGTGAGGGTATAATACAGTCCTTGTCTTGTGCAACTCCATGTTTGTCTCCTAAACCAGTCTGATAGGATACAAATTGAGGTGGTATGGAGGGAGATGCAGTGAATCACTTTAATTCTCTTTAATTGTATCGTCGATTCCTAACAATGATAGTGATTTGTCCATTTCTGGCTGAGAAGCTGATAACGTTACAAATGGTGGCATTTCAGAAACAAAATAAATGCAGTCATTTTTGTTACAGAAAAATTAACATTTTTAGTTTTAAATTGTGTTATAATAGCATAGGAATTACAGTAAAAGTAACAACCACATTTTATCAGTAAGGGTACTTTCCACTGATTACAATTTCTGTTTCTTCTTCATAGTGAGATAAAGGAAGAATGCATGTCTATGAATTAGAAGGCCAAACACATGTTTTGTTCAGAAGTATTAGCTGAACACACAAAAGAAAAATGGCAAAGCTGCTGCTCCCATATGATGAAGACAAAAAAATTTTGGTAATGAGACTGTTTATTGGATGAAGCAATCAACAGCATGATTCTTCACTCAGCACAGAGTTTGGATTACACGAGTACAGATGAAGAATAACTCTGGAGTTTGTCTGAAGATGAACTGTAAAATGGTACAAACTTTTGTTTGATTCAAACAGCCTATTATGTATACTTTATAAGCATATCATAAATATATAAAAAATTGACAGTGGAACCACGGTTCCCCAGTTAACATTGAATAACGTTTAACTGTAGAAGTATATTTGTACTGAAACAAAATTTTATTTACACATTAATGTATACCTTTACATATTATTTATATGTGACGTCATACGCCGACAGCTTATCTATGTGTTGCGTCATGTACTCAACACACTCACTATAGAACCGTTCTGTTACCAAATAAATGGCTAAAACTCCTAAACCATAGGAGTTAGCTGATATCTGTTTGCAAATTTGCAAAGCTTCTGTTTATTTACGTATTTCACTCGCAATATGTCCAGATCTAACTCTTACGCTTTAGATGTGGCAAGCAGTTGAAGTTAAGTAACGAGGGTATAGTTATTACATGTTTTGGGTAATTATTTCAATAATGTGTAAAATATGCATTATGGAATAAAGTAAACATCATGTAGAAAAAGCCATTTATTTAATCTTTAATTTCTCTATCTTAGATAGGTCTCGAGTTATTGGCGTTTGAAGAAGTTACACACCAGCGTTACCCTACATCTTACAGTTTCCGTCGAGTGTACCGTGATTTTATAAACGTTATTCAACATTAAAAGATTTTGGATATGTTTCTTATAGTGTTTTTTTGGATTTGTGAACCCAGCTTTCACTTTCATAGCTGCAACAAAATGAAATGTAATCGACTGTATTTTGTCCTATACCCCCTCATCAGGGTTCAGTTCTAAGTTGCTGTGATATACAAATCATCCTAATCCCTCAAGATTATTTTCACACACTTTCTGAATTAAGACACCAGGAAAGAAAGAGAAGGCATATCTTACAAGGAAACACACAATAAGAAACATGATGTTACAGAAATGTACACAATTTTTTGAGTAATGTGCTCTTGGTACTCAATATGCTAATTTTCAACTGCAATAATATCTTCTTCTGAGTTAATGACTGCTTGAATCATTTTGGTGCTTAGCTGCCATAAGACATGAGCCAGCTCTGGGTCTTGGGCCGCCTTACTAGGTTCACAACGGCAACAATTGTTGAAGTAAAGCCCTGTGGCACCATCTAACTCTGGCGCTGTTGCACAGTATATGGTTGTGCTTGCTGCTTGTTGCTGAGAACAAATACAACACATTTTATTACATTTTCATATAATCGATGTATTGCACCTATTATTAACTTAGTTTTCATACAATTTTACAACATTATGAGCAAAATAGTTCACTCATTGCCCTGATGATAGAGGAAGCAAGGACCTCTGAAACATTGGTAAACTTCTACCAGATTACATGGCGCAACACGGTTGTTGCGCCATGTAATCTGGTAGACAGAAATCTGCATTAAAATTCCTAACCCCCCCATCAATAAGCAATTTGTTATCATTTAATATAAAAGTTTATTTTAGTGTTACATCTGCGACACGCACAGGTCATTGGCCTCAGATACTGTATTTATTCATGATTTTTTGACCACAATAAACAAGTTTTATTAAATAACCAAATAAAGTAAGTTCACTATCAACAAACAACTCATTGTTTTTAAAACAAGAATGGTTGTGTTACAGATTACAGAATGTGATGCTCAGGTTATGTTATCGGTCGCAATATGTAAATTATATTGCAAAGACTATCAAGGTTGCAGATGTAAAGAATTTAATAAAACTGTTAGGCAGTGGTGTGGGGGTATGTTTTAATCAGAGGCTGTTAAACTTTGTCATTCTTAAAAGAATGCACTTGTTCCAGTCTCTAAAAAGGTCACAGATCGCCCGATGCAAGAATGGTTCAAACTGAATTCCCACACAAATACAATGTTACTTAAACTATTTTCAAACACACTGGAAATTTGCTTGGTTGTTCATCCCCTTTATTAAAAAATACTAATCACTTAAACATCCTGCAGTTCTTAATTCAACATCAAAGACATCTGTGCAAGAAGGAATTAGATGAATATTTTATAAGCATTATTCATAACATAAATTAGTTGAATTTGAAGAAGTTTCATGTAGTAGTTATGAACCAGGACTTGTGAAAGTTAGTACACATGTCCCAGTACATCCACATCAGACCAGTCTTCCTTCTTACAGAAAGTGTGAGGCAATGTAGGAACTGCAGTTGCAGTAGAAATTCCAACATCACACTTTCATTAGCTCTTATGCCTCATAAGTAACTTCCTATTCGATGGCTGGCATATTAGAACATCATTCATTGTGTTTTATTGGCCAGTCTTCTAAGGAGGGGGCATATATTTGAAATCCTAAATTAAATAATAGATCCATCTTGTCTTAATTTTGAAAGAATGTTAATTTGGCCTCACATAAGGTATACTATTCAGCAGAAGAAAACAGGCACAAGCAGCAACTGGGAAATGACTATCTCATTGCCTAAGGGGCACTATATAGGACAGAGTCAGATGGAATGGAGAGGGTCACGTAATACAAGTCAGGAGGCTATCAACAAGTCCACTTAATGTGCAACTGGGTGGTGATACTTACGATTCCAGGTCACCAACACAACTTTTTGATCACCCTGTAGTTTCCACTCAATACCCAACATTAAATCTGGCTGTCTGAGCACAACAGAAAGAATTTAAATCCTTACTTGATTTAAAATTATTTGAAAAGTGCCTGAACCAATGAGGAATTCAAGGTTCATATTATTGTGGTATTGCCTATAGCCAAACCCACTTGTCATCCCAACCTCCTAAAATGACAATAGGATTCTGATCTGTGGAGGAAGGAGTAGAAAAAATCTCAACCATACTTCTGATGTGGTTTAAAATTTCCTTTATTACTCATCTAAAAAATGTGGTTTTCCTATGCTCCATTAGGCAAGTTAAAATGGATCCGTCTGTGTTGGAATTTCTATCAATATATACTCACCAAAGATTTTGTGAATGGGCGTACAATAGCAAAGAGAAATCGGTATAACCACCAGTTTCGACTCAGATTTGAGCTAACCATGTTTCCAGGATGGATGGTGTTGACAATAATCCCCTTTTTCTCCCACATTCTGGCAAGTTCCAGTCCAAATAGAATGTTACACAATTTAGAGTTGTTGTAAGCCATCATGGACCAGAAATGTGTTGCAGACGATGGTGACAGTGCTGTCTGGCTGAGGGTATCACCACTCAAATTAGCAAACCTGTCAAAGATACAATTTTACTTTTAGATGGTGAGCAAGAAAAAATAACAGACAGAGCATGTAGATGCAGGGTACACATAAGGTGTTTTATTTATTAAAAATTATATAAGATATATAAATGCATATTATGTGCAGTAAAGACATTCACTTGAAACAGAGTATCAGTTTAAACAATGCAACTGTTAGGCAAAGGCAAAGGAAGATATGGCTGACCCCATAACACAACCCTTAAAAAAAGAAAGAGTGCAGTGTGTCCATAGTGATGGAAGCTACGGCAGTCGTTATTCACTGCCTCAACTCTGGCAAATATTGCATCAGAAGCGGGATGCCCATAGTTCCACAAGAAGAAGTCGCACAGAGTTAAGTCTGGCGATCTTCGTAGCCATCTGCACCACACAATGTCACTGGCTCCTACATAACTGATCAATCTCTGGAAAAGGTGTACATTTAGGTGGTTCCAAACACCCATGGGGAAGTGAAGTGGTGCCCCATCTTGTTGGAAGATAAAGTCATTAGAATCATCTTCTAATTGGTGCAAATGCTTTAAGGTAAGCATGTCTAGGTAAGAGTCACTTGTGAAGGTATTTTCTACAAAAAATAAGGGGCTATAAACCTTCTCCTTTCAAATGATACAGAACACATTCACTTTTGATGCATCTCTTTCATGCTCAAGGGTAACATGAGAATTTTATGTTCCCCAAACATGGACATACGCTGGTTCACTTTACCATTGATGTGAAAAGTTGCCTCATCACTAAAAATAAACATGGTAGGTAAGTCATCGACATTTTCAATCCTGGCTAGAATCTCACAGAATTCATATTGTAGAGCCAAATCTTGTGGTTTCAGAGCATGGACCAATTGAAGTTCATAAGGTTTCACAAGTAAACACTTATGCAGGATTTTAGAGATGGTTGTTTGTGGTAGTGGCAACTCACAACTCACTCAGCAAATTGATTTTTGTGGGCTGTGTTGGAAGCAAGTCCACAGTTTCAGCACGCACAGAGGGCTGACTAAAACCCCTGCCTTTGCAAATGCACCCGTTGTGATCAAATTTCTTGAACAAGGCATAAATGGATACTAAGCAGGATGGTTCCATGTAAAAATTCTTTTGTTCTAACCCTATATAGTAACCAACAGCAGAATTATTGCACTACTAGAGGGTTAAAGAGAGAGTGAGAACAAGCTGACATTTTGCATATGAATGTTTTCATTTAAGAGCAGATGACTCAGCTATATTCAGATCTGCAGTTACATCTCACAATGCATGGTCATTCCTGGTCTGTTTTCCTGACAATATACAGACATTTCATTTGTAAATTTTGTGATTTCACATACAGTTTTAATAGAGAATTCCAACACGAAAGAACATTAGATTTCCAGCCAGACTCTGGCAATCTGAAAATGATTCCTTGAGTACTTAAAACATGATAAGGTATTTACATTTCTAAGATTCATGGTTACATAGTGAGCCATATGTTATTTCTGAATTTTTAATCGATCTTCATACTCTACTGTAAGTGAAGAACATCTTATAGGCCAACTTTGTCCACCACATATTTCAGCAGAGATCATGCTCCCATTTATTGGTGGACCTATAAACTACAATTGATGCCATATAATAACTTGAGAATGGCTGATAGGATTTTCATGAAATTTTGTATGGAAGTTATGGCATTAGATAGTCAAAACTCTCACTTGTTACCTGCTTCTTAATTACCAAACTGACAGACTCTTAAAGTCATGATGTGGGAGGATGATACTCTTACAACATGTAATTACTCATGATACCATATATTAGTGTCCATACAAATTATTTGTGTTGCTATCAGTGGTCACATAAAATGTTTGAAATCACATCCACAGGAAGAGTGTAATGATGTTCATGCTGGATTCTATTAGAGCATGGCTACCCAACATAACGTATTGTATTGTTATGTTGCCATAGCAACATCAGAAGGAATTTCATTCTGTCAATAGAAGTTAATTAATGAGCTCTATAAACAATTAATTATTACACTTGCATTGAAACATGTATATCAGTCTGTAAATTATTACTTCTACAAATGAATATGACCAAATATGTGAGTAAATGTAAAAAGAGTAATGATAGCACATGGAAGACTGATATTCGTATAGACATTTAATGAGATAACATCAAGATAATGCAGTAGGTGGCATGAAGAATGAAAAAGGAACGTTTGTAAACTCCAAAGAGCACAATTTTCAAAGTTGTTTCTTTCAAGTTGTAATGCCATGTAGCAGTGAAATGTTTCCAATGTGTGGAGGAACATGCTGCCTCCAATTTCCCCAAAATAAAATTGAAAATTATATTCATACATAATACATATTCCACCCATATTATCATCCTTGGTCTGATTACTCCAATATAAGCACACCCAAATGTCATTGCTGTGTGGTTAACACTCATGCTTCATATTCAGGGGGTCCCAGGTTCAAATCTCAGCCCAGAGACTGGTTATCTTGACTGTTTGTTTGTGGTTTTCCTCAGTCACTCCAGGCAAATATCAAGATAGTGCATCATATTAGACCATGATCACTTCCTTCCACGTCCTTTTCAATTTATTATTCACTATTATCCACTCATTCAATATTATATAGTTTGAGCTACTGAAAAAGCATTTTATAAACTATAAATAATTAATAAAATATAAGCACAAGTTATCTGTTACTGCTACATGTTTAGATAATGTGATTACCTATGTGATTCTGAAGAAACGACAATCACTCTTGAACCTTGACACAGCTGAGGTTCAAGAAGCAGGGTCATGTACATGTGGCTCAAGTGATTCACCTGGAATGTAGTTTCATAACCATCATGTGTGAGGGAGAAAGGAAGACCAAATACACCAGCATTCAGCACCAGTATGTCCAACTTCCTGTACATCAAACATTTAGTATCAGAGCTATTGACAAGCCAATATTTGCTTACCTCGCAAAGAAATTCCCAGCTTTTTATGAAACACAAAGGTTCAGTATCTTCCATAAGAACTTGCCATTTGTCTGAATCCATCAAAGTCCAAGCCATGTATAATATTTTATAACATGTTAGCATTTTACAATGAGGATCTCTTAGCACCTGCTAACACTTATGCCGTCAAGAGTATGAAAGACATGCAAATTCATTTAGACCTTTAATCCTACTTTTTCAATGCCTTCCTAAAAGAATGCAATTGTCAGTTAAAAATCTGAAGTCACATGGGTTAGATTATTATTATTATAATTTTTATGATACAGTGTGTTCAAGAAAGAACTCCAGAGTTTTAGTTATAAATATTTATTCATTGCTTTGACATAAAAATTTCAAAACAAAAATTAATAGACAATCTCGCCAAGTTTTAGTGTCATTTAGTGCAATTAAATGTGAGTACCACTGACGGGCCTAGACATCAAAACTAAATTCCATAACACACTCCACCTTTTCCTGCAGTAAAGCCATGACTGAATGACTCCTGCTTTCATGCAGTCCCAACTTAGCGTGGTTCATGTCACTAAACCCCGGATAGATTTTGCGCTAAATTTTTGAAACATACCAACTCTGTGATTAAGTGGCGAATAAACATGTATAACTAAAACTCTGGAGTTCTTTACTTGACATTCTGCATTATAAATTTACAAACACATGAATAAAATTCTGAATATCACATTTACAAAACACTCTTTTAGAATCCCATTAGTGCTTAAAACTGAGAATCATCTCTTCATGTGTCCAAATCAAAATTAAAACATCAGTCACTTAGCACGGTTGTGCTAGGTGCATGTATGAACAACTTTAAATTCTTCGAACTACATAGCAGCACTATGCAGATCAACAAGAATGAATTTTAAAGCTCGGGGAGTAAAGTCGGAAATTGCAACGACTGGAGAAGTTCAGTCTTTCATGTGAACTAAAGTCAAATTTCACAGTACACAGTAATGCACGAACATTCTACTACAATTGAATGTCACTGCAGTTTGGCAATTGTAACAAACCTAGTGAAGATCTTAAGTAAAAGTAAAGGCAAAACTGTTCCTGTACTTAATTTAGAACCACGCCATGGTGATGTATGGGGAGTGGAAGTAGTGTTATACATTCTCAACTTCAAGTCCAGATTGAGGTGAGTAGCCAGCTTCAAGCACCGGCTGTTTTAATTTCCCTCCAATTGGAAAAGACCTTTTGGTACCCAATGGATAGGAAGTTGGGAGGCCTCCAATCTGGTAAGGATGTGATGGCAAAGGTAAAAATCTCTGTCACTGCCAAGAATCTAGAAGTTGTCCACTGATTATCTGTTAAATTTCAACTGCCTTCAGTTGTATTTATTTCTCATTAAAATTTATTTAGTTTTTATGTGCTGTCATAAGTATGATTTTAAACACAAGTAACTTGCATGTATGGAAGTGCAACCTGTTTTCAGAAATAAGGTATGATAGGTACAGTTATCTTGATATGCCACCCCACTAAAAGAAATTTAGGAGTCTAGAAGTAAGTTTGTCATATTCGTGGCATAAACACTAGATAAAGCTTATGAGTGAAGTTTACACTCCAGTCACCTAACTTTACGGAGTAAGGGCACAATGGACAGATAGTCTGATGTGCACTGGTGCCATTATGACAAGCTGGTGAAACTGTTTATTGAAATATTGACTTCACACAAGTACCAAATTAACTAAACATAAAAGATTTTCTAAATGATACTTTGAGAGCTATGTGCTAAGGTTCAAGCTGCATTTATTATAATTTTAAAGGGTTTTGAAGACAGAAGACATTATGAAAATGTGAACTGTGTTTGGGTGCTTGCACAGTGTAAAAGTTGGTTTGAAGCTGACATTTCAGAGGACCATACTGCCTCCATCATCAGAGGTGAAGGAAAGCTGGGAATTAGTCGGACCCATAATCACAACTGCTCTTCATTGCCAGTACAGGTTAATGACATCCGTAGTCTATCTCACCTGCTCCCATCTAATTCTTCACGTTCATCATTACCGACCCCAACAATATCAGGTCTCAATAATCTCATGCTCATTATCCATCCATACCTTCTTGCTGGTCACCTAAAAGAGCTAGTATTACCTGTTTTTTGCTCTCC